TGTTTTTTCGCGAAACCGGTCTGGGTGACCTTAAGCGAGGAGAACTTGAGGTCCTGACCGGCTGCGCTGGTTGCACTGCCACCCGTGTAGGGCTCTGGAATCACCATCTGGGGGTCGGCGGTTGCACGCGGGGCCACCTTCGGCTTGGGTTGGACAGGCGGTCGGTAAGCGAGTTGGTTTGTTTCTGGTTCGATCACCTGACCATGCATCCGACCTAGTGGAACATCAAGTAACAATCAGCCTCAGGTAATATGGGGGGAACATAAGCTCCTCTCGTGGTTTACTTGGTTTCGTGATACTGCACGGAACGTGGTTATGCAGAAGTGGGCATGGAGTCAAGCCAGTGAACTTCTGAGGTCAATGAAGCTTTAGATGTGGTGATCGGAGTAGGAGATGAATTTAATCATCAGATTAAATAGTGATTTGTGAGAATAGTCAAATCATTATGGAGAATTGCAACACTAAGGCAGCTTTGCAAGAGTGGTGTGGGCATTCACGATTTCCTCCACTTTCAGATAAGTTTAATTGTGTTTACCAGTTACTGAAACGTTTGATTTAAGGGGTTTATTTGCAGACACACACAGTAGCACAAAAAAAACAGACCTATGGACGAATTTAATCTTCCCGAAAACTGGTGGTGTTCGACTTAGTACATTTGCCACTTTGCGCATAAGACAAGCACCAACTCGTGAAGTGAAAACTACCTACAAATCTGCCGACTGATACACACGCTCACATAAATCTATCATACCCCTGGTGTATGGACTGTTTGCGTCTTGTCCGGACGTGCGCAGAACGTGCTTCCAGACGTCGGGAGATGAGACAGAGGCTGGGGGGTCCATTTCTTCGCTTCCACGAGCCTCTGGATACCCCGGACCGTCATTGGTGAAAGTCGTCGTCATCGTTCTTGAAGGCTCGTCGGCATCCAGTGTGTGTTGGTAACGATCTTGGAGTGGGCAAAAGATGTGATATCTTAAATTCCTCCCCACACAATTTTTTAGTAATAATTAAACTAGAATTACACATTGGATGCTATTCCTATTTATCACCACATCCACCGTTTCCGCCATTGAGTTTTAATGTCAATTTTACAAGTGCTAACATGCCTATTTCCTCCACTCGTTATTATAATTACTCACCACAAGGTGTGCAGGAATGTACTTTTGTGTGGCCTCATGCGTCCAATGAGTGTGGATTTATTTGACTGCACCAATTTACACTTCATGTCATGCTGCATGGACACGGTATCGTGGTTACCAGTCGTGACATCAACTGAACTCATTTTAATGCCAAATGTGATTCCGCACTAACGACATTCGCAAACCAACTGGCTGCGGACGTCATCAAAAGACCCCACACATGAATGGCGTTTTAACGAAGGGTTTTAATGACATTATAATGTTCCAAGGAGAGTTAAGGCATGTTCATTGTATTTGTTAGCGTTGCGATGATTCGGCATTGGGGACGTGTTGAGCATGGCAGTCTACGGGCAAACTAGCAGGCTAGTCGGTGTATCATTTTTTTAAATTTTACTTTAACACGACGTCGTAGGTGACACACAGAGAGAACACTGAAATAGCAAGTAGGGCAAGGACCTACCGGGAAGCTTAGGGTAAGTGTCGGGATTAAACGAAGGCGTCGTGTTGAGGTTGTCAGTCTGTCTCGTTGACGAGGCGTCCAGAGGTGTGTGCTGGGAGTGGCGTTGGTTGGTGCCGGCGGGCGCCTTCGGCAACGGCGGCATCGAGGAGACCGGCGGGTCCGCCTTGCTGCCTCTCGAAAGCGAAATCGGGTGATCCACGTAGCCGTGGTCCTCGTTATCCGACGACGACGAACCCGAATTCAGCTGTGCTCTTTGTGGAGCTGCTGGCTGAGGTGGTGCGACTCGCACAACTAAACACACACACACATTGCTTTACGTAGATATACACTGTACTGCCATCATTTAATGGTTGATATGCAACTCTGCATTTGCTCACAGCACGAATTACAGTTTGGGATAAGCTTATCACTTTTATCCTCCTCTAAGATACTTCACTTCAAATCGGAACCCGATTACAGGTGAAACTACGCCTCAATGATCACCTTGTGTTGACCAAGCACTCAAAATCACAATTTGACTTTTTTTCTACCTAGCAAAATTTCTGATTGACTGAGTCGATTGCATTAACACCGAGTTACCGCTTTGTCTGGTCCGGACACACCACCCGCAATACGTCTAATGTTATGCTAGCCACCAAGGCCAAATGTCTGCTCAACACTACTTCGGAGCGAACCGAGCCGCTTTCCGTTCACTAATCAAACTACCATTAAGATATTTCTCGCACGCCCTAGCATGGCGCAAATGGTGTTCGACAATTCAACTTTTACTACAGCGTTAGTGTAATGTCTTAGTGATAAATAAATCGGATGCATTTCAATGTCAATAAGACAGTCAGATTTCCCTGACTCCGATTGCACATGTCTCTTTCGCCACGAAATAAATTACTCACTCGTTGGTAGCAGCGATTATTTCGGATATCATGGCAGGGCGTTTCGAAGTACTGCGATCTCACATTGTCTGTTTGCGCCCTGAGAACGAATATCCAATGTCGTTCTTCCTTATGTAAATTACTTGCGAGCTGATAGGTCAACGGGAATTGGCTGCGTAAATTAAGTTGTGCATGACACCTATGGTCTAACGTCAATGACTTCACATGTTGATTCAAGTAAGTTGATTTCATGCACACCTTTACGTATTTGTGCTACTTATAATGAAACAGGTAGACATGGAATTTGACCCACAAAAATGTATGGAAGAAGTGTGGCAGAACACCGGCGGTTAAATAATGGTAAGAAGGCAGATATTAACGAACGAACGACAAGTAGCGCTTCATCAAGACTCAGAGAAAAAACAGCACATCAATATAGGTTTCTGGCTTATTGAGGTGTACGTCGGATGAAATCGGTGGAACGTCACAAACTTTTAGAATTTAAGTAACATCAACATAACCGGCAGGCTGTGGAATTACCCAATTTTGTTTTTTTTTTCCATTTATTTCAAATTAAAAAAATAAATGTACGGGTTTTACGTGAAGTTTGACTATTTCAACCGTAGAGGACCCTATAACCCTCACTTTGGCATGTTAGCAAATGTGGACCTTCCCTAGAGTGTTGACCGAGCCGTTGAAACGGTTAAACCAACAAAATGCTGACCTCAATGTCGTAAGTCAGAGGAGCTGATGGTATTAGCAGGCATTAACAAAATCAGTCGTTAATAGTTACCTACTATGAGTCTGAGCACTTTAGGGGGATTTTCGAACTAAGACGAAAGAGTAAACTACACGTGGGAATTTATGATTTTCACCTGTCGCATGATTCCATTCCCTCCCTGTCGAATGCCGCATATCCCCTCCACCAGCTTGTTAAAAACAAGGAAAGCTAAGTGACAGAGGGACCGAATAAGGCAAAAGCGGTGACTAATAGTACTGAGAGTTGAGCCGAGTGATTTAACACGGCATCTCAGATGCCAAGTGCGGAGGTAGGTGATACAAGAGCGCATTCGCGCACGGCTACGCACGTATGGTTGCCCCAACCGCATCAGCTGCCTTGCCTTAGTCATAGCGACTCTAATACTTGGCGCTGCTGAGGAGAGCATGTGGTTTTCCCTGACACCCAGAACCGGAGTTAAAACTGGCATGGAAAGAGTCGGGTTAAGGTTTTTGAGTTGCCGCTTGTAAAACAAGTGAACCACAGTCTAAAGCTATAAAGGAAATGGGAAATCCCAGAGGGCAAGATCTAATACGTCCAGAACCGTTTCTACTTAGCCTAGATTTGTGGCCCAGTTAAGTGTGCTCGTGTATCGCTATAACAGCACAGTGAACTAAATCGTCAAAATGTAGGCATTTGTGAACTAAGTTTTGTAGCGAGTTTCTGGCACGTGTGTGCAACTGTGCGCGCGAGTTTACGTCAAGAACAGTTACATTTAATTTACTATGCTCTAGATAAGCTCTGCACGCTGAGTCGTGACGCGCACACACAGCCAATAACAGCCAGCGGTGGCTAGGAGGTGGACCCGAATTAGTCGCCGCTATCCACCTAATTGCTTGCACCGCCGCTAGCAAACGATGTACAATCGCGGCGTGTAATTATACTTATTATTAACGTCTCTGGCCAAGTCGAAAATGAAATGCTTTCGAGGACTTAGGGTTAGGGTTGATGATAGTTAACATAATGGCATTTTCTGGGATTTGACTTAAGCTGCAGGGTACAAAGTTAATGTTTCATGAATGAGATCAATCTGAATGAACCCCGAAAATGAGTCCTCGAATTTTGTGAAAGGTTGCTTTCATGTGTGTTAGCACTGAAGGGTTATGAGTAAGAGCAAATGGCAGTGTAACTAGAGCAGAGAGAAGTAGAAAAGGTTTGTCTTTTGTTAATAAGCAACTGAGAGGTGGATGTCTGGGTTAGGTAGTGCCACATTACCACCGTGGAGCGTTAACAAATAGAACAGGGGGATTCTTGTGCATAAGATTAGGCCAATCCAACAGCTCCTATAGATGGGCTTGGAGGGGGAAAACCCAAGTCTTTACAGTTCTAGCCACGTTTACACAACAGCACAACACATTCACCCAGGTCCCTATGTTCATTCGATGTATTGGCATAAAATTAACTGCAATTAGTAAACTTTACCACCTCACGTGAACAAAGAATTGAAGTAAAATGCCAATTTTTCGATCGACAGGTTGTGACGCATAGGCGACCCATTACAAAAATCTTAAGAGAATTGCCGTTCTGTAAGTCGAGCATTACAAAGGACAACTTGTTCTTATTTGCATGATCAACGCATGAGCGATGACGAGGAACCGACGTGGCCAAGATCAAGTTAAAAACCCTCCATTATTCCCCTTATCGGGATTTCCCAGAGCTTTTACTTTTCATTTTACTGAGTGAATGGGCTTCAGTGCTCACCCTCGTAGATCCGAGTCATAAGGGGAAAACAGGTCAATTTTGAGGGATTTTACATCATCGCCCTCAGCCTATTCAAATATTCAAGGATGAGGGTAACAGGACTGTAGGGGACACACGGATTACGAGAAAATTTAAATCCCTTAGGAAAAATTGAATATCAATAATTAGAAGTTAAAAGCGCATACCACTGCTGAATTCCGGGCCAGAATCGATATCTGATGTGTAGCCATCTAGACGGTCTGAGAAGGCTCCGCCAATACGAATTGCTACAATAAGTAATAAGAAAATACATCAGTGTGGTTCGCCGCAAAGTATTCATAAACACGCGATATTTGGCAACGGTTAATAACTGCCACCGCTTACTAAAAGACCAATGACTCGGGTCTCGCGGTAGGTGCTTAACTAGCTTAAGCGTAGCTTCTGACGTTTCCTTGAGAAGAGCTGAGCCAGATTTAGATTTAATTACTTTAAAAGGATGTGCACGCGGAGAATAACACCGAAGGGCACGTGCTGACCAACGCTTACATTCATAACCAGAACACCTCAGCAAATTGAATACAAGGGAGGCACTTGAATCTAATAAAACCGGCCCAAAGGTACATGAAGAAAGGCGATTTTGGAGGTTGTGATCTCCAGCTCTACAGCCGTGTGTCACGGGATTGAGGAATTCTCAGGGTGAGGTAGTTGGAGGTTTCAGCCATAAGATATACACACACGCTCGCGCACGTAGAAATTACCAAATTTCAGCTTAGTCTGATGTACGCCAGTCAGTTTCAAAAAACCGGTCAGGAAACAATACACATTTCAAGTAATTCGGGTACTCAAAAGTAAAGTAAGGCAAAAACGTACCGAAATTGCCCCGATAACGATGCGGGCGGTTTGTTTGTTCTAAAAATGGTTTTAACAGAGGCGGTCAGTCTAAAGCATACACAGCTACTACAGAAATGTCCGACGGCTTGTTGTGTTAGACCAACTTGGCCGATTTAGTGGTTACGGTTAAAAAATTGGAGAAAAAAAAGGCAAAATTACCCTTTTCCTTGAAGATATCCTATAAACGATAGTAGAAAGAATAAATCAAGTTCTGAAATACAAGCTGTTGGTTAAGTTGAATTTATCGGTGCTATGGCCTAAAGATTGAACTGGAAAATAGTTTTTTTTTATTCTGGCTACAACCTGACGGCAGAGCTTCCCTAAAAGCCGTTTTTCGCATTTTCACACACAATGGTTGTGGCTGGTTGGGGTCTACGTTCACGGTTCGAGCGTTTTCCTGCAGAGAACCAAGTCCTGACATAAAATACTTCGTGTCACCTGGAAAAAACACAGTCTTAAAACCTCTGAACAACAATCGATCAGTTCACACGCAACACGCACGTCTGGTGGGCTTGGATGATTGATTCGAGAGCTTTCCAAATTTAAAAGTGAGTCCTTCTTTGTGTGATCAAAACACCAGTTTTCAATTTGCGGTGTGAATTACTCTGCAGCATTTACACGAAACAAAAGTGGATAAGTTGTAAAACGTTTGCATGGTTTTGACACCCTGTAATTCAGTGAGCGCCTTTTGCTGTCAACCGCATTTCTTGGTAAAAAAGGATGCTACGCCTCAGGTGAGTTCGGTGCAGCAAACATTTGGAATTTGATTGGCAAATCGGGCTCGTTTGAGCGTGCCAAACACGAAACATGTACGCACTATTACTGATAAAAAGCTGGATCGCTAATTTTCGGCTCTCATCGCATTTAAATGGGAATGCTTTTAAACTGAGGTGTGCTAGTCAAGTTGAGTGTGGCAGAAAGATTCCGTTGTAACGCACAAAATTCGCGCACATGGTTTTAATCATGACGTGGAAGCTTTTTATGGACAGTGTACCAGCGAACACAAAATTGATCCTGTCAGCAAATTTCAGATTCGCTTAAGCGGGTAGTGAATGAATAACAGTGGTGTGTAGCGTGGGGCTAGCGCTATGATTCAAAATGAGAAAACTAGGCTGGGTCAGTTATTATCTAATAATGGAAACCTATATCAGTTCACAAATCGATTAAATCCGAGTATGGCAATCAGATAATTGTAAGTGAAGTCCCTTTTCCATACCTGCTCCAGAAAGACCCGTATTTGAGCGACACGGTGCTGAAGTCGACGTGTTTCTTCAGTTGAGGGGGCGTTAAGAGAAAGCTTCACCTCGATTCCTCTAGCCTGCCTCAATTGATCTTTCACTTGCCAGGCAGCGTATTCGAAGCCCGTCGCCTGACGTGGCAACTCCAATTCCAACTCAGTAATCTGCTGTTCCAGCTTGGTAAGTTCTTTCTGGGCTAATTTATGGGGTCTGCGTTAAGCAATGTAGAAGAGAAAGACTAATTTGACTGGATTGGATCATAAAATGAGATCGTAAACAAACTGTACATGTCAGGTAAAAAAAACTTCCGTTTTTTTGTCTGTAGCACCACAAAAACCCACCTCATTCGCATGCTCGAGTTACTCTCAGAACGGCGCAGGTACTTAGACGAGATTTCGCCTTTTCTGCGGCGAGAATAAAGTTCCTTGCTTCCTTGAAAAAGGTTCACCAGAAGGTTGCTTGTCTGAGGATGCATCACGAAGAACTCAATAACCTTTGAATGGAGGAAGGGAAACGACAGGTCTTTTAGAAGCGTTTGACCGTTCCCTTAAACACGCTTTGCCAGCCACCTTACGCCTTTATGGTCGCACATCTCTTTCCCCTCAACTAATGATGGCAATGCTTGATAGCCACTGTTGTTTGACTAAATTGAACAGCATGCCAAAAAACCGAAACTCATGAAATAATCTTTTTAAATTAGGAGAGGGACCAGCTTAGCATGACATTGTTGATTGTCCAATTTTGAATAGAACAGTAAAAGCTACTCTCTGGAATAAAATCTCATTACCGAATTAAAATTGGATGTTAAAGCATCATAACTGCCAAAAAATAAGCACAAAAAACTACGAATAAAACTACAGAACAACCTGTTTGGGTTCGTGTGCCATGACGATCTCAATTTTCTCGTCCCATGCTGTGAACGAGGCGATGTCTGACCAGACGTGCCGTGTGGTAGGAGGCTTTCTTTAATGCGAAAAAGAACGTTAAAAATTGTGACTTTGCGTTTAAACGGATAATGATCCGGGAATTGTAGTATTCACATCCTATCAGCATTGCTGAACAAATAACCCGGCCACTGTCTGAACAACACCAATCAAAGGGATTGCCTTCAAAACTCAATCACCTAGGTTAATCGCTTGCCACGACGCAAGTTAAAACGACTAAAAACACGTTAAATATAAACTAGAAATGGAGAAAAACAGCATTTTTAAAAAGGAATCAAATTCACATACATATATGAGGCTGAGTAGTCCCGTAACCTTTCACTGACCTACTTAGACCTTGTGTGAGCAGACGAAAAAGATTTTCCCAACTCCTTGTTAGTGATTGAATTGCGCAAGAGGTTTTTTTTTCATCGTAAACGCGGATTGGCGCTGGGAAGTTACATCAACTTACACTGTTTTGGATCAGATTTCAAATAAATTTACACGAATTTGGTTTAGTTCCTTGTTTTACAATTTTATTAATTTCTTGAACTTTGCATAATTTCTTGGCATCAGACTGACTTTTACCTACAGATGAGCTTTAAAAATTACTTCCTGCTAGTTCCGATTTCTTTATTTATCACGTTTCTATTGCTCTGTCACAGTTTCGACTTTCAAGGTGTTGTCTGAACTAGTTAAAACTAGCATTATCTGCAAAATTACTCTGGATTACGTACAATACGCATAGAGTGTCTGAATCAGAAAGCAAAGTGATACACACGCATACAGGTTTATTGGAGTTTACTTAAGAGGGAAGAAAATGGGGAAGTTCAGAGAGAGAAGGCCAAGCAAAGCTACGTGAATTTGAAAACAGAAAGCAGGAAGAGGCTAACACTGTAACGGAGGCAATATACGTTACGGCTTATTCGCAAGCACACCGGGTGCTCACCTTTTACTGTCGTAGATATTGAGCCCGACAGCATCGAGGCTGATCCACTTGCGGACTTGGCTGGCCGTCTCTACCTCGAAAATAGAAGCCCCATAAAGTTCTACGTCCTGCGCGATATCCAAATACTCAACAATCGCGTCGAGGAAGGGCGTGTCACGGAGTTTCAAGTGCCAATTTGAGATGCGATTTTCCCATTCCGTGATGGTCAGGTTGTGGTTATCAATGGTGCTAAATTAAAAACAAAACCTTCGCACATTCCTAAATTTTTCACAAGCATACACAAGGATAAAGAATTGGCAATAGTTGAGTGAGGTCAGGGAAATTAAGCTACGTTAGAACTGATGTAACCTTAGGCCTATTCTGTGTAAACTAACGAACCTCCACGATCAGATGTACCAGCTACTGGATAAGCCAGCCACGTGGCTTGTGGACTCGCTGATTGAGTTATTTGCCCGAGTTCACTGTTTATGTTTCGAAAAAAAAGAAGTTAAACAAGGCAGAGAGATTTCTGCTTTAAGTTGGATTACTTTTTAACTGCTTACTGAATACAGCTGATATCACGAGATAATGAATAAAAAGTTAAAACCTTACAGTTATTAGTGCCCCCAACCACCTGAGGATCCCATAAACCACGTTGATGATGAACGTATTTTGACAAATTCTCTTCCACTAACAGATAGGTGGGCAGCCATGCTCATCTTTCACAAAGTAAAGCAGTAAACAAGGTTAAACCTCAAGTTAAGCGGAAGGAATCTAGTAAATCGTGGAGCCATCAACGAGCCAACAATGCTAGTTTGGTCTTAATCATCTGTCTCCAAGTGTTGTAATATATAAGCACAAGACGACCAAGCGAAGTATTTGAATTTGGGGACCAATGTGTACAGTAACATCAACTGTTATTTATTAAACGTCTGAGAAATAAATGGTTTCGCCACCCTCACCTTTTTGGAAGTAGTTCTTTGACTGGTGGCACGGGATTACGGAGAGCCTGCGCGGGACCGAATTTAGCCTGACAGGCATAGGCTGCTAAATAGACTGCGGTCTCGGGTGGACAGAAGATTTTTTCGCTGATGATGGCGCTATAAACCTGTCAATATAAGAGTGAAATTACAAGCGTATCCACGTAGATAAACAAGGAAATGCATGACATACACCTAGAATAGCTATGGGGGACCTTATGGCTCTTTGAAACAGAAGATCCCAGTCAAATCGTGTTCCAATCATTATTTCACAAATACTTAATACAACTGTTAGGCGCTAAAACAAATAGAGTTTGTTTTAGCGAAATAACTTGTAGTCGCGCACTTTAATAAATACAGAGAGACAATATACCTTATTAAAAAGGCGTTTCATGAGATCTTCGTTTCCTGCAATACCCTTATAGTCGACCGACATTCCTATCGTGCCTGGAAAATAATAAAAATGTCGACAGTAAAACCATAAAAAGCAAGAGATAAAGCGGTATCGGCAAAGTCACTTATTTGTGCGAAAACGTAGCGAGGCTACAATGACAAACAGAAAAGCGCAAAATTTTAATCACACTCATACTCCATTTTCAGTTACGGCTAGTATTTTCGCTGTCACATGCTCCAAATAATTACTACTCTAGACCCGAATGAGCCCCTAAAATCGATTCTAAAAATCCTCAAAAATGTTATGAACGACCAATAAGTATCCGATAAGGTACTAACTACAACTCCGTTACATTAATCAGGGTTCTTGAGTTTCCGGTTCCTGCGGTTGAATTCAACTTGAACAATGACAAATACAAAGATTTCGTTATAACGTGTTCTACACTTCTTCTTAAGCCTAGTGGTCTTATACAATACAATACGTGTTAAATCGACTAATATATAAGTAAAAAATATAAATCCAAAATTTTGCAGCAGCAAGGCCAAAATTTCGAAAGTCCCAAACGTAAGGTCTAGAAGACCGCAAAATTGCGCTATGAGTTGCATAATTTCTAATCATATACGTACTTTTTAGGATAAGCATGAAACAAAAACAACGTCTCCAGATAAAACAGGACGAATTTAAATAGGACACCAAATGCAAATATTTCATGTTATGGACTAAGAGAAAACAGTTATCATAAAAGACTCCATGCAGTCTTAATTTTCTAATTATTGTGACCATAAACTAAAGATAAAAATTAAAAAGCAGCAATCCCTTACGTACGTCGCCAAAAAATGCCTTACAACGCAACTTCAAAATCGACCCACAAAAATAGAGTGTGGATTCGACTTATCCAAACAAGAGTAACTGAAGGATAAAAAAGTTGTTCATTGACATATGATTGTTTATTTGTTAGGTCTATGTGCAAATTTATATTTAGCAGTAACCCAAATGCTTAACTCTTTTTACCAAAATTTCACAAGCCTCGTTCAAAATAATCAAAAAAGGGAAAAAATTACTTTATTTTTTTACTATTAGAACATAGGAAATGTCGCAAAACCAAATTTCAGGAAATTCGAATTTTTGATTTTGCAACATAGACAATTTGTTATTTTCAATATTAATACTCATTTACATTTTAATAATAGGATAACTGAATAATATGATTCTCAAATATAATTAATTTACATCCAACTGTCCATGTAGCTGGTACCTGTGGCATTAGAAATATTGTAATAATTTATTGTGCCGTAACGCAGGCATGATTACCTAAATAGCAACTCACATCGAGCATTTTAGTTTCCACAATACGGGAACCTTAGCCTTAGTTCCAAAGTACAAAAAAATGCATTCGCATATTTTAATCTGTTCTCACTTAACTTCTGCTCTCTAAAAATACATAATTTGATGTAATGAAATAAAGCGAATTTTTTGAGCTCACAGGGTGCTGTTTAACACATAACTTTTCGCTTACGAATGTGTCATTGCTAACAAATATGCTCATAATCCTGCAAAACTGCTGCTTTCTTTCGTCATGTGAAAGTTCCCGTACACCCAGAAATAACGCTTTGTCAATGTGATTGTTGCTTGGTGTACTTCAATGTCCTACGTGTTTTTTATCATTCATTTGTTTAAAACATTTTAAGCTCCCGGAATTGTATGTCTAATTTCCAAATTAGCACAGAAAAACAGCAAGTTGCTTTTTCGTGTGAGTTAATTAATTGGGAAAAGTTAGACTTTTGCACACATAGAGGCCAATATTCGCTTGTGCAGATTTGATTTGACAAACTGGCACTTGCAACGTGTAAATCAACTTGCCCATTGCGCATATGTTTACACAATTTCTAATCACATTATGACCAAATGGTATAGGCGTACAACACCGTCATTACGGGCATCATGAATGCCGTTTGATATCAACACTTCAACATCGCTAGTACACACTGCTTACCAAACGGAAACAAGTCGTTACTTACAACGTGCCTGGTGAAAGCAACTACAATCCCCCTTAATTACCCACACAAAAAACAGAATTGTAATAGTATGAAGTAATCTTTCCAATGGAAACAGCAGTGGGTCTGAAGACTGCAAACTACTAACCTAATTCCGCTAACAACAAATCTTCACCCACATGGCCTGTACTTTCGTCTGCACAATAAGTTAGGTTTATTTAAAGAATCTTAGTGTGGAATCAATGTTACTGTTTTTACCTCTGACTGCTTAGCACGATGAATCATCCTTGACTCAAAACCAATCCCTCGAATGAGTGTTCTGTAAAGGTACTTTTGGCAGTCGCGCCGAATCATGAAACATGAAAAACATGTGCCTGTTCAGTAATGATATTGGAACATTCATGCTTCTGCAACAACGGAGCCTTAGTTGAGATTAGAGGTAAGACCCGAATAGAATATAAATAAAACTACGCCATGTCAGTAGACATGACTATTATTTAATGAGGATTTATCTTGATATAATTGGACGACCAAGCAGAAGATACTAACCTCTAAAGGCAGGACATGGACTGCATTGTGCCGATTAAGTCCCAAAAAGGCTTTGATTTTAAGAGAGTGCAGAATTTCCTTTTAAATTGAAAGGACCACTCATGGAAGAGGCTGCAAACCGCAGCAAAACTTTGTCAATATGCATGATGTCAAAAAATATTGGCCACTTATTCAAGTTGGCGATTCCGAATATTGATGTCATTGGAAATTTCGGAACGGTGCCTGTTAAAACAGCAAAATGCGCGGGACTTAAACCATTTGCGAAAACCAAAACGTGATGTTAATTGTGCGCGATGTTTAAGCTTAGTCAACGTCGTTGGAAGGCCGACCATGGTGACCGTAATAAAACACAACTCGGCCACTTTTGTTCTACAGTGTCGCATCGTGACAGTCCGGTTTTATGAAGAAATTAGGAATTATTCTTCCCTACTTTGAACATTAAATAAGAAACTCGAGTGTCTGTGTTGACATATCAACCCTGTAGATGCGGACGCTTAAGTGAAAATGACTTTCCTGAACTTGAAAATTCAGATTTGAACATTTTAGAACAGCAGTCGACGCATTTTGGACGTTCTGCAACCCAATTCCGGTCATCAGTCTGACAGATTAACATGCAATTGTTGCTAACTTGTAATACTTCTATAGTAAAACACGAAACGATGAAGGTCAGAATGGTTAACCCTGAAAATAAAGACACTTATTTCGTGCTTGCGCTTTTAGTTTCCATTTGGACAAAACCAAGAACTGGATCAGTCCTACGTGAAGACCAGTTCGAGAAAACAGCAGACTAGAAAGGACCTAATTGGTTTTATTAGACCAGCACACCATGAGACAGAACAGATTACAACTTGTTGAAAGCAACCACATCCACGGACTGCACATAATCTTCTAGAGCGGTTATGTTCTCCTCTAGGAAGTCGGTTCCAACCTAGAAAAAAAATATAACCTCAGAAGGATAATTCAGACCCTCGATATCTAAATTTAACATGACTGATTTCCACATACGAATAGTAGCTGCCAAGGAGCCGGAGTAAGTTTTAACACCTTTTACTAAAACGCCAATGGTGACAGTCGGGTAGATTTTTAGATTTATTACTAACGTTGATAACCTCCGAATCATTAGAATAAATTAACAATTCAAGCACTAAGAAAATAAAATGGAAGTGCATTTGATTTCTCAGTGAAAAAAGGAATACTTCCATAACTATAACACAAACCGAACATACCTTATCATCTTCTACAACACAGGTGATCTGCAGCTTATAAATACCATGGACCACAGGAACGCGTTTCGAAGTGCCCCAGACGAGACCATCAGCGGTGATTTCACGGACGCCCTTCTCCATAGCATCCATGTCTGTCTGGTCATCCCAGGGCTTTACCTCCAAAATGATCAGGGACTTGGCAACCGGCTTCTCCTTCTTGGCAGCTGCGTTCTTAGCAGCCATTTCCTGTTTGCGGCGGCTCACTTCCTCTTCCTACAAAAGCATTGAGCAGATAGTGGTCAATTGCTTCAAAGCCAAATATTGCGCTCAAAACTAATTGCCATTGCAAGTTTTAACCAGTCCTATTCTGTACCAATGGAACGCATGCAAGCTACATCTAAAATCATTAATAAAATTAAATTTTGAGTCCTGACAATATTGTAGGGGACCTTAAGGCAGGGGAGCGTAGTGCATTTCACGACTTATTATAATGGTTAGTTCAATCAACAGTTTCGCACTTTTTTTCTCCAAAAATTTTTTAATAAAGACGAACTTTTAAAAGGCATCAGCCAACGAAGCGAGGGCACCAATTTCATCAACAAAAATGTAGATAACCTACTTTGAAGACTTTTCAGAAGACACTTTTTACATGAAGATGAAGAAACTCCAAGAGGGGGTATGCTGATTCGGAAATAAAAAACTAGCCCGACTGTAATCTCTTACACCATCAGTTACGATTATCATTTGAGTTAGGTTACTTTTTTCATAGAATGATATGGGATTAGGCGAAACAGCTAAGTAACATGGCCTTCATGACCTCGGAAGCCTTTGGGGAAAAATTATGGTAGCAGTTTAACGAGCATTTTACCCAACGATTGTAAAACAATGAACTAAAAAGATAACCCTACGGTAAGGATACTCGAGCATAAGCACCTCATGTTTTGTGCTCAACTGTGTAAAACCGACGCGTAAGACCATGTAAAAAAACTACTGGGCACCAAGAAAAAGCACCTGAAGCGTACACAAATAACTAGCGAAATCGATGGAAGACTATACACATGCAACTAAGATGACCAGATGGCAGACAGAAGAAATGAGGATCTTGAATATTAACATAAAAATACTACCGATTGCAGAACCGAAATCATTAAACCAATAACTAGACAACTAAGTTGAGAAATCAACCAAAAATAGAACCAAACATTTGGCCCAAGTTATCAGATGAGTTAATGGACTTACATCGTCAGAGGCGAAAAGATCATCATCGTCATCCTCGTCGTCGGCTGGTTTTGGGGCCGGTGCTGGCTTAGCTGCGGAAGCTGTCTTAGCAGCAGCCACACAGGCGGCAGCAGACTTTTTATCGAGATTCAAATTATTCAGCCGTTGAATTTGCGTCTCAAGTTCATAAACGCGAGAGAACAACTCTTTCACGACTTAAGAAAGGAGAATGACACACTTAGCACTAGTCAATGAACAATTCAAAAACTCCCTAACAGTAACACGAGGAATCTACGTAGATTGATACTTAGAAAGGGTACACAACACAGAGGATACCCATAAAGAGTTAAACGTAATACATTTACATTAATCGCGAAACGTGACCGAGCCTACGAGTAAGTCAATCAAACCAGTGTCAGAAAATGGGCGCTAACTAAAGCATGGCATTGCTACGTCGAGGCTTATCTATAAATCCAAATAATCAAATAAAAATGTACTCCCTGTGTTACTAAGACGTCACTGCGCCATAACCGACACCGAAGGAAAGGAAATCTACAAGTGTGGTAGGCATAGCTTACTTTTTTCGAGATGATCAACGCGAGAGGCGCCAGCGCCAGTCTACAAGAAAACACATGGAAGTTAGCGAGGTGGCTAAGTTCCGACTGCGTAGCAACCCAAGATTTAGACATCCAATTAAACTAAATTCAAAAATAACGGTAAAAAACAGCCCACAACAAAACGGTAGCGAAACTTAGGTCAGAAACAACGGCACAGGCATTTTGTCTACTTTTAACATAGCACCCGACCAGGAAAGTGCACATAATGGGAAGTAAACGCACATTGTCCAGAGAAGATTTGATGGTTTCGCGGACCTTTTGAATTTCCTTTACTAAGAAAGACTCTCCCATCTAAATGGGTTTCACTATGGCGAATATATACTTACAGGACCGGCTGCAGAAGCAGGCGTCTTCTTGCTGTTGTGGCATAAATAACGCATATAATCTGATTCCATCTCATTGTAGTGGGGTATCGGGTGGTAGGAGGCGGCATCGAAAGCAGAAGCGTCCATCGTGAAGTGCAGCGTGGAAAGCGAATAAAACAAACGTGGTCAGTGCACAGACGATGAATGGCACGCATTATTTCCACGTACAAAATTCTCCTACAAATTCCCCAAAAGCTTAGTTATACAATTTAACTGACTTAAAAAAATATTTTGATAGCTATTTAACCGACTTCAAATATAATTTTCGATGACTTTTTTAGTTTTTAGTTTAGTTTAGTTTAGCTTTAGTTTAGTTTTCTGATCACTGTGAAGCATGTTTTTGGTGTATTACACCTAGTACAATAGAAGCAATAATTACGAAAGAATATTTATTCAGGGGATGATTTAATCAATCCACAGAGGCTGTGTTTTTTCCTAAATGTAACAAAATAAAGTGGGTTGTAAAATTGGCACAAAGTTTACTTGAAAATTGCTTTTTTACTTTATTGCATGATGAAGTACTAAAGATTATTAATTGCAGACTTTGTTTTTGACTGCTAAGGCTTTAAAATCTTCAGCATCTTTGCCACATATATCGTCAATTTTTGCCTCAAAAGTAGTCACTTTTTGCGCATTCAAGCGACCTAATGCTTATTTAATAGATGCTTTGCAGTTATCGTATTCAACTCTAATTAAAAATTTAAATTTGGTGTGTTATGTATAGGTTTCTACAAATAAAACCCAATTTCGAAAAAAAAGGTTTGAAAAATAATGGTCCACTTTCCCGGTTTTTTTAGTATGCATGCTGATGTTAACATTGTGTATAATGAATACCCCTCTAGACAGTTATCATCCACATGAAATTGTGTCTGAAAAAATTGTGAAAACAATTAAAGGGCTACTGGAACCATATTAAAGCAAGGCTACCGCAAGAGTTTTTCATTTCCTAAATATAAAAAGTTTTGGACATTCCTTTGGATTCAAATGAATGGGTCTCAGGAAATCTGTTTGGAGTTACGTTACAACCTTATTCGTACCGTCTAAAAACAGTTATGGCCTTTCTAAGTCAATCGGCAATACTACTACCCTTAATACCGTTAGATTTGCTTAATGCTACATTCAATATCCCAAATCGAATAAAAAGTGCTGTGGATCGAATGACTTACAATGCTTTCATTATTAACTGGCCATTAATTCAAGTAATTTAACGAAGGAACGTCTAAAAACTTTCTTTAACCTATATCGAGGTATTAATGTTCTGACGAATTAAATTAATGCCGGTTTTTAGGTGTGAGTTTATTTGATTTCAATAATTAAATATAATGGTTTTATGGCAAAGTACATTCTAATTTATGATGCATATATTTTTACGTGAAATATTTTTAGAGTCAAGCTTTTTTGAGATAACGAAGCACATTTCAACGCAAAACGGAATTCAAGTTCATAGTTTGTATAGAACTCGAAACTAAAGTGTGCGCTGATTGCGAATTCTACATTGCCCTTACTTCTTTACCCCGAAAATAATCATGATCATTAGTTTTTCGTTTACAATACACTTGGACCACTTTTAGCCAAGTGTAGGGCATGGTAGCATCTTGCATTCATTTTTTTAAAACTGCAAATGTAATGCTAGGAGCCGAAGCCAGCATCTATGCTGAGGGAGATATATTTTAATGCTGGTTCAGATGCAGTCATTCTGAAGTCTACAATATGCCTAGCCGATCATCTGTCTCATCGTGAAAAACATCAGTAACCAACTAGCAAAAATACGCTGAGAAGAACTACAGAATGTGTGTCGCCGCAGGCGTCTAAATTCGGACAAACTACGCCTGAGGGCTGGTCTGGCTTGTGGTTCTATAGTAAGGCCTATCACATTGCACTGGTTTCTTCAAACTAATATTATGACGTTCTTAAACATTTACAAATATAGCACGTGCTGAAAGTTGTGGTGATGAGATTTTTACCATGACAACAAATTTTTAATTTGCAAATTGTTTATTGCAATTATCGATAGGATATAGAAGAATAGCTGCACATATTTATCATATTATAAGCACGAATAATGTGCACATACACTTTGTAAAATAACATTTTTTAAGCCATATAAATTAATTTTTTTATGACGTCAACTAATTGCCTGTTTGAATCCCTTGAAGAACCTCTCTTTTGGTCCTCCGCCAATCGGATGTGCCAGTGGCACTATCAGTGACCTTGTAATCAACTGTCGGAAAGTCAGTTTCTGAATCTGAATTGCTTTAACTTCAGACGGTAAATTGGGAGTTCGTTAAGGAGATTTTCACTGCTGTCTGTATTTTACCTATGAGTTCAGCTAAAGTTTAACATCCGTTATTCTGAAGTGGAAAAGAAATAGTGTTGCAAGGACTGATTGTCTATCACTCGTCATTTGTTACATTGTTAAGCAGTGGGAGTGATTATTTGTCTCCTTAGTTTCGGCTTAAGTTTATGACGAAACCTTCGCTGTGGAAACTTAGTTACACTGCTGTCCTGTCTTCTTACCAAAGTTATTTGGTTATGGCATTCACTTTCGGGGCCTATGAGTGTCTTCGTGTTTTGCGGAAGCGTCTTATTCTTTAGAAACTAGTACTTATTTATCAGTGAGGAGTAAATCGTTTGGCTTGACCTATGATAAAGGTAAATTCGGGTAATTTCAGGGCAAGTATATGCGTTCAAGATTGCTTGTCATTGATACTGGGTTGTTTCCTATTGCTAAATCTAACTTGTATCTATTTTTCTGTCTATTGATCTTGTGGGCTTTCTAACAACATATCTAATGCGACGAACTGGTGGTCCATTAGTGAATGTATATTCGCCGCTGAAAATCCACTGGTTCCGGAAGTATCGACACTGTTCGAGTGACAATGACTGAATAAAGACACTTCATGTGGCCTTATGGGGATATTGTAGCTCTCCTATCGATTTGTTTTTTGCATATCTGCGTCTTAGTCATTCACATTACACTAGTAGTAATGTTTACTTTGAGTCTTGAAATTGTGATCCCAACACTTGAAACACCAGGAAATTCCTCAGGCGGTTGGCCTGGTGTACTAAAACACGAATCTCAAAATAACAGAAAAGCAAACTAGCTCTTGGCTTTTTCTATTAGGTTTGAACACATTACTAAACACTGCAATATCTAGACTCACCTTCGGTTTTGTAGCACAACATGAGTTTCGGGTCCCATGAAGGTCGTCTCTTGGAGGTTTTCTCGCACTTTGGGATGATTCAAAAGGAGTCATCCAGTGATCCAGAAGAGGCCCTCATTAACGTCGTCCTTACTACACCCAAACAACGATTACTGAAGGACATAGCTCAGCTCACGGAGGCTTTCCTGGCCATGCAGTCTCTCTCTCCAGCAGAAACAGTCAATTACTTGAGTTTCGTGACGGGGTCCCTTTTCGAACTTGTGAGTCACCCTGATCAGGACGTACGGATGGCGGCTGACGAAGGAATTAATCAAATAATAAAGGTATGCTTCCCTTACGTGCGTCTTGTTGTTAGGTTTCTTGAGCAAACAGTTTTGTTCAGCCGAAGAATCAGTCAAAAGCTGCTTTTTTAATTTTAAAGCGGTTTTATAAACACTTTAGTATGTTCATGTACAAATATCTCTTTTGTACTAGGTAGTTGGGTTCAATTTTTTTCAAAGCTATTTTTACTCCTCTAACCTACTACAAAACCTTGTTAATGGCTTTAGAAGATTCTACTTTCCCCTTTTTATGTCGAAATGCAGATATTTGTTTATTAGTGTAACCGAATGAACCGTTTTTATTCAGCTAGCAGATATACAACTAGTTCAGCACGTTATTTACGAAATATTTATCGAGATCAAGCGCAGTCTCCACGCCCGCTCACTCTCTTCTGCACTGCGGAAATTCTCCGCGTGTATTAACAAAATTGACCCTAAGAAACGCAGGTGAGGACCCGTAATTTAATTTTTTTTTGTTAATTTTCAGTGTAATGCCTCTACTTACCTAACTTTTATCCATTCCTGTCTTTTATCTAAACTAGCGACTGAGAAGCCTCCACCTTAATTGTGTTCCATAGACACAAGGAGTATCGCAGTTTCCTGCCTCAAGATTTGGCCCATAAAGCGAAATGACCCTCTATGGTTCATATTGCTACCGCAATCTCGAGTATCATGCTAACTTTTAGCTTGTCTATTGCTTTTTGCTTCAATTTTAGAAATGGCGAATTAAAAATTGTTCGGAACACAAGTGTGCTACTAACTACAAATCTTCTTTATTACCACAATTGTGGTTGTATGGCATTAGTCGAAACGGCACTAGTTTCGGTTGGAGGAGTTTATGGTGTGCTTAAAGTGATGCAATGTGAAATGAGCTATTATTAGTTTGAAGTTTGTTAACTTTTTTTTTCATTTGAAATCGGGAAATCACGGCAGAAAGAAGTAGGCGTGAAGGAAAGCCCCACTGCCTTGTAGCTTTAAAAAAGCTAAAACAAAACTCAAATTTACTAAAATCTTGGTTGTCGTTGTTCTTTGGTTTCTAAATCTCAGGTACATCATTTTGGGTGTCATCCTTATTAACTTGCAATTCTTGGAAAATAAAGCAATAGGTTTGGTTTGCCATTTGATAGGAATATTTTTTTCCGAGGTGGGCACGACAGATAAACGTCACATTATTCTCCTTCAGCGTACTTGTTATCCATTGATTTGTGCTTGGTGAACAGTATCGATAAAGCAGAAATGCCCTCAATCTAGTTTGCAAGTTTTTTGTCCGTTACCGTGGGCTGTCCAGTGCTCGAACCCCGGATTGATGGTTGTGAATTCGTCTATTCACCTGATGTGTTTTCTAAGCCGTGCATGCTAAATTCCCTACAATTCACGTATTTTGTCGCTACTACTGCAATTCCTTGGGCCTTATCACATCTCAAGTCGCACTAGTCTATGTGCTTCTATCGTTATGGTTCTGATCCGCGTGTTAAGGCCATTCATGGGACGCAGCTGCCCTCTCTATGTTTGTTGTCCAGATAGTTTTATCGTTATTTTAAAGGCTCTACGCGATTCATATTCTACCCGCTTTGAGTGGCCTGATAACTCGCGAGGAAGAAATGGTCTGGGATTGCCTCTCCAACTCCATCCAACCAGTAGCCGTCTTCATCTTCCCGCACACCAGCCAGCAAGAGCTTATTACAGTAAGTGGACACTCAAATTTTTAAATCACAGTCTCTTAACTATTCCCCGAAAAAATTGCTTTTTTACTGACCAAGTTGGTATTGACGGGGCCAAGGAAAAGGCGTTTTTTGTATTAACATGGGCCTGAAGTGTTCCCAACGGGTTGATTCGGCTCAGTGATGTGGGGATTGGCACGGGCTACATTACATTTTGCGTGTGGTTTGCGTTAGACCGTCATGACCTAAGGTTCCCACAGTCCCGTTTACGGCGGCAAGAGGCCTGATTTCCACGTCCTCCCCTAGATACTGCTGAAGGGTCTGCTGGAGAAAATAGAATCAGACAAAAACTACATCCGAAGGTCGGCAGCTAAAATCCTTGCCTCCTCCGTGGTGCATTCTAGGCTGCCTCATGAGCTCTCCTATCGTCTCATTCAACAGCTTGCTGGTGAGTCATTTAACCCGCTATTGAAAATCCATTTGTTTTTCCCTAGACAATTCACCTCGCCTCCAGGTTTGTCAATTTTTGATATCGTGTCATGCTTACGTAAAGCATGCACTATACTCCAGCTCAGGTCTATGTGATGTGTGCAAATCATTTTTTAAGGTTGTTTAAGCACCACCTGATCAGATGGTTTCAAAGTCCTGTCATCGGCAGCCCCCTTAAGTGCTAATTTTGGGAGCCGGCTTTGTCGAAAGTTGGCCTTTACGGTTGCAAGGGCCAGACAGGCTGCATGCAATTGTGACACTACAGCTCTGTATGCGGTCATGTTATCGAGCGAGAACGCCAATCACACGACCTTATCCCAGAGCCTCTGTTTTGGAAAAAAATGTTGTACTTGTGTATATGCGTTTTTTAATGAATCGTGTGATATCCCCTAGTGAATCGGTTTTCTTCTTATTGAGGCCTCATTAGTACCGCCTGACTACTAATTTGATGACCATCGTGGGAACTACACAGTTGTAACTTAGTTCTTGGTCGTTATTCACTAGCGAATTAAAAAAAACCACGTAATTTTTGCGTAATCCGTTTGAACTTAGTTATTTTTAAGAAACCACCTTCTTCATTTTACCAAGCCCGTGTCTAGTTCATGTCTGCCATGTGAACTAGAGCCGATGGAACCCCTGCTATTAAAAGCTTTCCATTTTCTGAGTTTGTTAAATCCTTCTCTTCAAATTCCATTGGTTCGATTCCCGATCATTGTCAAGACCTACGCAGTGGTAAACTAGGAATTCAAAAAATGTGAAAAGTATGCAACACATGAATCTTACTGTGGAATTTTATCCCTACGGGAAACATGAGCAGAACTCTTCTGTTAACGACCAGAGTGAGTTCATACAGGGACATTGACTTGGAATTACCCTCTGCTTTAATGCAAATGAAAAGCATTAAGCCGGAAGTGTGGTAATCCATCTCTACTTTTGATTTTATCAATAATCACTAGAGTCAAGTGTAGTTGTCAATTTGGGGCTCCGGTTCCATCCGTTGTGAAAGACGAGAACGAATATTTTTTCCCAGTTTAAGGTTATGCCCTGTTCTACTCGACGGTTTTAGGTTTCGTGAAGGCAAGTGGATTCACCAATTGGCATTTTCGGCCAATAGTAAAAAGTCATCCCCATGAGCGTGAAAATTTTCTAGCATAAATTTGTCTGTAGGTGTGTTCGAAAGTCAATTCCACCAAGAAATTATTACTTCAGTTGATTAAAAAAACGCCAGTTAAGTCGCTAGAAAGAGTGAGATAGTCCATAGGGCTGTGACTTTTGAGGCGGGGTACTTTAAAGTGCTCATGTTGCTTAAATTTGCATTTTTGTACCAAATGTTGACCCATAAATTCGTGCATCTATTTTGCGTGCTGTATGCAGCTACATTTCTTCATCGTCACTCTCCACGGTGTTGAGTGATAGAAGCGGGAACTTTCGAAAATGAGGTGCTACTTGGGAACGTACCGGGGAACTGCGAAACCACTTCGTTGTATTGTTGGTTTTGGGTGGTGTGGGAAGAGACCTTTGTCTTTTTTTTCTGCCTCATCGTTTTACTTTGAGCGAATATGCGGTTAAGTAGTCTTTTGACATTGTAAAAACAGATGGCTTTCCAAACGTTTTCAGTCTTACCAATAACTCGCGCACTTTTTGTATTTTACCATGGAAATCCACAGTCCTGCCTTTTCCTGCATCTTCCAGTAACCTTGGACACTTCAATTCATCGGGTTCCGACGCAGGGCAAATGCGTAAAATACACATGTTGATATCTGCAGAATTGACCTTCTCACGTTGCTAGTGCATGTTAGTTTGTGTGCCTGCTTGCCGTCTTGTGATGTAGAACCTCTTCAAGGGAATCTGATCCCTAGAGTTTCGCACTAATCGCATTTAATTTCATCACGACTTGTCAAACAGCAGTGACAGGAAAATGCGGCAAAACCTCCTTATTTGATTTTCAGCTCATAACTCCCCTGCAGTTTACTTCAAAGGCCTCGAGTTTGCATGTCTTTCATACGTCGACACGGGGATTTACAGGCTGTTTAGTGTTTGTGCTGCTTATCAAGCCAAGTTTTATTTATTTCGAACATATGCCATTTAGGAAAAGCATTATTCGTCTTTGCAGGTCGTGTTTTTGTACTGAAACAGCGCTTTCTGTTGGACGAGGCTTCGTCTGAAACTCCCGCGACGGAGACCGCAACGGCCCTTCAGGGATGTCTTTGGACACTCAGAAATTTGGCTTCTCTCTTTTCGAGGATACCGCAGCCAACGTCGACGGGTACGATTGAACGAACAAGGTCTGATGGCAAGTTGATCTCCTCTCACAATATCTGACTCGAAGAACGACATTTGATTAGTGCTAACATTTCCTAGAAACGCTACTTAACTGCCAATATTTCCCTATGCACAGTGGGAGTTATAGGTCACAGGACACGGAAATCCAATGCTAGTGGGCAATAATGGGGAATTTTGTCGTCGTTTTCCTACGAGATGCAATCGAATCAACCGGGATGTGGATTGTAGCCCATAATTTGTGCGTGTAACCACATACGCCATTTTGTCTTGGAAATTCCTTGGGGATTTGTTTAGTATCTGCTCAAGTTATTTTGCTGTAAATTGGGATTGTGAATCGGTCCAATCCCAAGTACGTTATCGCCATAGCCACCATTTAACACGCTTTTAATAAGGCCTTTTACAACAGCACGTGTTGCATTAATCTAATCCAACCGTTTCTGACTCATTCAATGGAGCTTTGTTATAACTCACCACAGGCTCCACCTCTGGTTGTCTCGTCAGGTACCTCACATGTAACGGCATATTTTTCCTTCGTTGTCGTAGGTCAAAACGCCAAATTTGCCTACTTGTACATTCCTCTGGCAACTACCACTGGCTTCGATTTCACCTCCTGGTCGCGCGAAAGTCTTGAGTACTTTTGGTGGAGCCTGGTTCGCCTCGAGTGCCTCGAGTTGGCCTGCTACTTTCCATCGACTGCGTCGTTCCACGTAATGGTGTGCACGGCTGCGTTGGAGTGCCTCCTGCAGGTGCTGACCTCGTTCCCAGCACCGCCTGGCGCAGTTCCCGCGGGTTTCCATCAGGCACTCCAGACTTTCTTCATTCGAGGCCTGGCCAAAACATCGCCTCTTGACGATTATGCGTCTTGTAGGTTTGCTTTTGCTGCGAATCCCCTCTCTATGCTAATAGCGTTAGAAATTTAACCGGTTTTCCCCCTTTACCAACTGCCACTGGGTAGTATTTGACACCAACCCCTTCCCCTCCTCTTGCAGCAAGTGAAATCTCCGACCTGGATGAAGTGAGCTCGGTTGCTTCTTCGGCCACCACCACCACCACCGCAACACCAGCTGTCGTCCATGGCGATTCTGAAGGTGTCACTCTCGTCATGAGACCCCTCGTCCCTCCCTCTTCGGCACCACCAGTCTCACGTACTTCGCCTTCGAGACCTCGTCTGTGTGAGTTGTCGAAAACCCTTGGTTCTTATCGGCCCGTGTTCTTGATTCGGAGATGTCAACAGTTAGGCGCACTATAACGTAGCGTATACCCCTTAACGAGTTTTATTTCGCTCGTTCAAGATACCCTTCGAGTTTCTAAAACCAGTCTGGTGAAGGATGTCGAATGAGAATAACGCCATGTTTGGATAGCATGGACCAAAATTCATGCATAAATGAAAAAAAAAACCAAATTACTCAATCTCGTTCAACCTCCTAGCAATATAAGTTCCAACATGCAAATTACAAAATTACAAGTGGAGAAAACTACATTTCTCAAGGTAGTGAAATGAACTAAATAGTCGGTTCCACAAAAGTGATCAGGTGCAGGCGAGGTGTTATTCAATTCTATGTTAAAGTGGCCGACCCTTTGGGAAGGCACTTACTGTTATCACAGTAAGTATGTCGCTTTTTCTCTCTATTTTTTTAATAAGTGTTAAAATGATTGCTTAAATGCATCTCTTCATTTCGGTATCTCCCTGAGATTTTGCCATCCAACGAACCTCTTGTCAGGCCGTAAATCTGATCCTACCTCTTTAGAATGTGGTAACGTGGGTTCCAAACCTGTTGGCGAATTCTGGGCGTTTCATTTCTGTTTTCTTGATAAATACGGTTTTTTATGGCTGCTTCTTTCTTGAACCACTATTTTGTCTTTGGATAGGTGGTGGTTAGTAAAGTAGCACAGTGATTCTTGTGCTTTTTTAAAACCGAATCCAACTTTGTTGTTCCAGGATGTACTAGCTTTAGTTTTGTTCTTATATTCTAGCCTATCAAGATGGATGTGGGGAGGGGAAGGAAAGGGGAGAAGACCGGGCCGCCACTAACAGCGGTTTTGACGAGCTGCTTTCGACCGGTAGCGAGGCCCTCGTCACCTCGGTTGAGTGGTTCTTGCCGCTGTTTGCGCGTCGTTTCTGCCTGCTTCCGGGAACACAACAGTCGAGTCGGACCTCCGCCCAGTCATTGGCGGTTTCGTGTTTGGCCAAATTGACCCTCAGTCTCCCACCGCGGGCCTTTTTTGAGCCCCTCCGGCCAGTGGATGCGGATGGGGAGAAGCAGGAATTAGTCACGGGGGGTAGGTTTTGGATGCCCTGTGAGAGGTCTCCATTATTGCGAAATTCGTGTAAACACTTACCACGACGGATGCGTTCCACGGATGTGTTTTTTCGGCATATCGAGCTGTTTTTTACTGAACTGTTAAGTGGCCGGTTATGCGGTAGAACGCAGTTGAGTGTCCTTCCGTGAATGTTGTTTCTCGTTCACGAAATACAGGCATTCTTGTGGTGACTATACACCTACTCCTTTAGCCTCCCATTGTCATGGCTCCTTAGCACATCATACTTAATGAACACCAACAGATCTCGGATTTTAAGAAGTCGTTAGTGCAGAACAACCAAGTACTTAAAATCCAACGGTTTTAGCCCTATTTCCGGGGCCAAGTCCTAGTATTGGGAGAACACATGACTTCAGATCCACCTGTCAAACACACTTTTCTCTCACAAAGATTGGTTACACATTTTCCTTGGACGCGTTAATACATTTCTGTAGCTTTGATATAAGTTTGGGCTCTGAAGTTGTCGGGTTTTAATGCGTATTCTACTTGTTTAATCTTCAATCTTCTGGCAGAATCAGCCCTTCAAATTATGCAGACGTATTAAACCCACCGCCCATTGTTCCTCAGTTGTAACTGCAATTCGTCAACCCCTTCCACCGACAACACCTCTCTTTATTGGTTTTAATTACAACCGGTTCGATTGTATTTTGCATTTTGTGCCTTAGTGGAAATGGCCTTGAACCTTCTGCAACACAGTGACCCCCAGGTTAGGGGAAACGCGTGCCAGCTTGTGGGCAACCTCTTGAGAATCGCGGCGTCCCACACACTTGCTCAGCCCACCTCAAATCTGGATTTAAGTGAGCAGCTCTGTCAACTCATTGCTAACTTGGATAAACTACTCTCGTATGAAGTAAGTATTTGAGGATGTTTTCAGTCTGGGCATTCAATTTCTCAACGGTTCTTTTTCATAAACCCCACTTTCTACAACTTATGATTACTTTTATGAATGTTGAACTCTCAGTGTTTGTTTATTTTATTGACCCTAAATACCAGTCTGTTCAGCTCTGTTCAACTGTTCCGTCCACGTTAATATCTAAGTGGCCTCCTAATGGGACCGTTGCACAAGTTTTGCCAGAAATCCCACCACCTTTTTCTGACGCTCCGTGTTTTGGCGACACGTGTTTAGGTCCTAAATGTTCACCACTGTGATTATTTCTGTTGCAGAAATCGGGAATCACCTACCGAATGGCTATTAAGGCTCTGCGGATCTGCGCAAATCCCCTGCTTCACTTTCCTACCCTGAGGGTTCCCGTCGCCCTAGTTGATTGTGTGTCCAGACACTTGATGGGCTCGGCACGACACCCGTACCGTCTGGTCAGGCGTGAGACTATCCTCCTTGTTACTTCCTTGGATTGGGCTCAACTGGACTACCTGGAACGCCAGTGGGTAGGCTTGCAAAACTGTTCTTCCTTCGCCTGATTTTCATCAGCTATCATTGGATATTTGCCAATCAGATGGTGAAAGAATTTTTAACTAACATAGACTTTATCCAAATTGTGTGGTGGCAACACCAATCCACCGGTTTTATGGTGGCGATCACGTTGTTTTGAAGAACTATCTTGATGTCCGCTAATGATGATACTTTTCAGGGTTATTTGATTTCAGTACGGCTGTGTGCAGAATGGCCGTGTCAGGCGAATGGTCGCGGCTTCGCCTTTGTCCACTGTCGCCTGGAGTGAATGTTTACGGCTTTTTGCCGATGCCGACCGGTCTCTAGGTCGAGAAGCCTTCAATGCTCTCGTCATCCTCGCCACCACCACCTCCACTAATCCCTCTTATCAAGTCGACCTGCGAGAACACCTGTACAAATCCATTACCAATTGTCTTTCAGACGATTCGGCCCTTTCAGGTTTGTTGTCGTTATTACTGCTGGCTAACTGACAACGCACCGTCAAAATTATGCGATGGTCCTATTTCTCTTTTCTCTCCCTAGGCCTGAACGTCGTCACATATCTTCTTCCTCCTCAAGACTCACCTTCGAGTGGCTTTGAGAAACACCTTCGTGCTCTGACTAAAGACCTTCCAGAAGATGTGTGCATATCAGCACCACTGATTCCCAACAGTCACTCACTGAAGGCGTTGCCGGGTCCCTACAACTACCAGCTTCGTGGAATGCAGAGAGTATTTCGAGAGCTCGTCGATTGTCTCCTAGAACTCCCGCCTACTTGTAGCTCTACTGAAGATCGTAATATGATGGTTAGCGCCTGTACTTTAAGCACAGGTTTATTTCTTTTAGCTGTTTTCCTGGGTTACCTTTGGTCACCAAACGAATTTTCGCTCTCGGGGCTTAATGTTTGACTCTTATGGCATCGGTTTTAGTCCTTTATACTTCATGCACCTTCAAGACAGAGGTTGTGGTTAAGCCACAGGGGTCATTGAAGCACTGATTGACAATGCATGTTGTCAGTAATTTTCTAAGACAAAATAAACCACGAAACGAGGTAAATATCTGACATGTACCAGATGAACTCAGCATCTTGGCATTCTGACCCCATTGGTTGATTCTCGCTTACTTGACCATGTTTCTGTGCACAACTCTTAAGCGCCATTTTTTGTGCATAAACTTGGACCAACAGAAACGCACACTCTCCCACTGATTCTATAATGTCTAAGATAATTTTATCCCGGGTTCGCAGGCATATATTGTATGCTAATGCATCGATTTACAGGTGCATGTTCGTTCCTATAGTAGCCCTCTGTAGCACGCCTAATTGTAATCTGCCTGTCCTTTTCCGGCCCCAATAACACTAACTCCTGAGTTTTCTGCGCTCATTGCCAGCTGAATCAACAATTCATCCATTAAATAAGATGTTTTATCGTGTGTTTCCAGCTGGCTTTTCTCTGAACCAAATCACTTACGAACCATCTCCTATTAAATAATTTCAGCATTCTCTCATATTCGGTCTCACTGAGTTACTGGGTCGACCACCAATCACGTCAAACCACCTCCTTTGGTACACGCCTGCATCCCGAAAGCCGGCTAGAATCGATGAACAGGCGGTTGATCCTAAGGCGCCTCTCGCGATCGCCCGTTTCGCCCTGCAGCGGTATCAGCGCAGACCGAAAATGGCCCTCCTCTGCTGGCACTGCCTCTCCTTACTCACCGCATCCCCTGTTTCGACGACAGACCTACATTTGCAGTCGGAATTGCTTATCTTGGTGTCCGGTTGTATCCTCCGTGAGTCGACTTACATCACCACAAGCCTGTCTGGTGTTAATTCCATTTGTGTGCATCACAGTGTAGTTGACCAGTGAGACCTACTGCAGTGGGTGTTTTAACGTCGAAATTTCCTGTCTTTTTATTTACATTCTGTAATTGTTTTAATTAGACCCGGTAAACCAATCAGAAGTGACGCTCACGCATAGATTTTGCAACGAAGGCTTTCTACGTCCACTTTAATTCGCTTTAAATCAGCAGTGCACAAACTCTTAAACACAAGGACGTTGACAGAAATCGCGTTTGAAGTACAGACCGCCTTTTTAGCCTAAAATGAACATATCGCTAGGAGTTAGAGCACAAGTGGAGTGTTTTCGTTGTTTTAGGTTGGGGAATTAGCAGTCTAATGGAGGGGAGCGTGCCAAGTGGCGGAACAATGGAACTCCATCCAGATCACGCATTTACCCGAGTCTCTCTGGTGCTGCTTCGTCACATTGGCAGGTTCGTTGGTGTTTTGTCCTTCATTTTACCTATCCTTATTGGGCTTCCTTGTCTGTGTGGCATTCTGTGCATTTCCTGTGTGTGTGTGTTGGGGGGGGGCTCATTTGGGGTCTGGTTGGGTGAGTAAACTCAGGCTTTTTTCTGAACAAGTGTACTGGAGATTGTGGTATGGGCTTTTAAACGAGGGGCTCATTGCATGCAATCAAATGAATCAACGCTTAACCAAGCGTCTGCCAGTTTTAAAAAGCTTATCGTGCTGCCTTTGTTGCATCTCCACTGTCGACTAGTCCGACTATGTGAAGTCTGAACTGATCTGTTGCTGGTCTGCGATGTCTTTAAAGAAAGCCACTCTAAGTATCAACACCTAGGCCAAATGGACTGACTTTATGTTACCTGGACTGCTTCGAGATAGGTGCTCACAGATCTTGTTACAATTTTGCCCAGTATGTTGATGTAAGTCCATGTGTGTAAATAGTTAAACCCCCTGTCTAGCACGTCAGAGGACTTCCCAGTACACGACAAGATAAGAGCTTTGTCGGAAGGCTTCACTGTCTCAAATAAAACAGGCGAGCAAAAGCTGGGCCCAAAGCGGCAGTCGAGTAGATGCTCAAATGTGCCTACTTCGATACGCCTGGGCGATCCGGGGTCGTCGAGTTTAGTCATGAGTTGTTGGTCTTAAAGACGATGTGGCGTGGCTGTCGAGTTGTTATTTGGCGGACAGAGCTGAGTGAGTGGAAGGCGCACATCTCAGTGTTAATTGGGTTGACTTGGGAACGGTGACATCCCCAACAGATCTATACCCCCAGCCTCCGACAAAAGTAATAAAGTCTTCTTTTTCAAAATTACCGACTTGAAGAAGGAACTAAAGAGTTTCAACTAACGGTTAAAAAGACCTGCTTACGAGAAAAGACCGTCATTGATGATATTAGATCTCGAGAAACGTGACTTATCGGCTTTAGCTTGACAACACCGTCTGCATATCCTCTGTTCGTGGCGTCTCAGAGAACCCGATGTCCTATTCAGAAGGTGCCGATGCGGGTCTAGCCAGGGGCGTAGAACATCGTTTGCCGTTTTTCATCCAGGCAAACCAGTTGACGTGCTGACTCTCTTCATTCTTTTAATGACTTGACTTAAACTTACCATGTAGACATAAATAAAACTACGGCAAATTCTTCAAGTGTGAAAAGCTGATGTCACAAGACAAACTTCTGGTCACAATGCCTACCCGTAACCACTTATAGATACCTCAGGTTTACGGTAAATGCCTCCTTCTAAAACCGTGTTGCAAGAGGGACCTCGTTGAACGTCTTAAGGGTAGTGTTTTACTTAGTCATGAAGAGTGGGAGTTCTGTCCTCTTAACTAGACTGTTTGAAGTTAGGAAGCACTAGACAATGTCCATAAGTGGTTGGTTTTTCAACGGTCGTAAAAGCAGCCGGATTAACGTCCACATGGCCGCCGATATCAGTTGTCCACCTTCCCGTATCACAGGTCACTCGTCTTTTGTGGGCTCTCGCTTATCCTCGTTCCTTCCATTCCACTCGGCTGTTTATACAGAAAGCATTTTAAAACCCTCTAGATATGTTGTGGGTTGGGATTCCCACGGACGAACTGATTAAGGCGGAAGATTTGGATTTATTGTGTTGCTGCCATACATAAACAGCTGATTGGTGATGCGGTGTGCCCTTTGCTCTTGTCGTGTACTTGTCTCTTGAACTACTCTCATTTTAGTCTGTCACTGTTGTTCTTTCATAGGCTCCTTTCAATATTTTGGCACGTCTTTCAAGGAATTAAACCGACCAATCCGACGTCTTTCCTCTCCGGCCTCGTGAGTGGCTCAGTTCCCATCAATAGCGCGCCCATTGGCGACAGCAGCGGGGCCAAGGGTAATCAGCCGTGTCCCTCCCAGATCAGGGACACGTTGCAAAGTGCCCCCACCGCGGCAACCTCTCGTCCCACCGTTGCAATGCAGCTTGTACAACCTTCCGATGACGAAGGTTAGGCTGCTGTGCAATTTTTCATACGCAGTATTTTTTAGTAATTCCGGCTCCTTTCCAGAGTGACCTGTGGTGTCCAGGGCGTCTTCCTTTTTCTCCTTCAACGCTCCCGTGCATAACTACGTGCTCTTGTGGCACTACTACTGATTCCTTTTGTAAATAACCCAATAGACACCCCAACTGGTTTTCGGTGTGACCCAGTTTCAGCTCATTTTGTCGACGTTGGTTCCTTCGTTGCACTCACACCCTGTTGCTACGCTCTAAAACTCGGTAGACAGGTCTTGTTTTCTTTGGACGTATTCTAATTTCCCAGATTAATAATCTGTGGATCTTTGTCACAACTAAGGCAACGAGCACTGCGACGCATAAAGCACTTTTCCTCCTTTTAGAAGAAGAAAGTCGCTTGGTCATTGGAAGTCGGAACACATACGGCTACTTTGCCGGCCTTCCGCATTACATGGATCTATACGACACGTTGAAGGCCTCCTTTCACTCATTTAAGGTGCGTCAATTTCTATTACTCACGGAGACCTGTTTTTCCAATGTTGGATTTCGTTGAATGCCTTTAAATTGTTTCAACAGAAAATCTGCTAATAAGTCTTAACCTACACCGCAACCCGTTTTAGCTTATTTGAACCTGGTGACTTGGTGCGAATTCACAGAAATCATCTTTTCAACTAGAATTGTTCAGATGCCTTGTTCTTTTTTAATCGTGGCACCATCGTTTGAAGTCAGGCTTTTTTGACAACCAATCAGCTGAACTAAGCAGTTGTTTATCCAAGCTTAGAATACGGCTGGCTGAATCGCGTTCTACTTCAGCATCCGCAAAACGGGCAACTTTTAGACTTCGCCCTGATTGGTTATACCCTAGTACTCTTCATGTAGTGTTCTGATGGTTGACAAGGCAGTCGCTGTGAGTCTCGCGTCAACCGTTTGGCACCGTAAACTTCTTATGCGCATTTTGGTTTGCCCTATAGGGGATGGTGAAAAGACACTACAAATCAAATTTAATTTGGAAACTGAAATTGGGTGGAATAGCTCTTTGTTAAGTTAGCTGGGGCACCAATGCTTGCTAAACAATCACTCCATTCCAAAAATAACTTTGCTTTCTTACGTCAAACTAACACTCTTGCGCCACACAAACACTGGTCTTCTTTTTACGCCGGCTTGATATTTGGCTTTACCTCCTAGTCTTCCGATTTTTCAACAAGCGCTGAGGATTGGACCATGGAATTACTGGCCTCGACCTTGAGGGCATTCTCGCGTTTGCTAGAAGGTCTTCGGTTTGCCGAGGTCGTCCAAATGGTTGACGAGTTTCTCAAATACCTAGAAGTCTGTTTCACTTGGGCACCCTCACTCGCTCTTGACGCGGCGCTCAATGTAAGCTCACGTACACACAAATACGGCTCAAGGATCTTTGGTATATCAACGAAATTTCAACCAATTGCGTTTCTAAGTTTATAAGTTTTCTTTTTGATTTGCTATATCATGTGTGTGCTAACCACAGTCTAGAGATTTAATTGACATTTTTTAATATCTTGTGCAAAAACCGGCCTGTAACTTGTGTTAGTTCGGAAACTGTTAATCTATCATGTTGAAATAATCTATACTGTAGTTTCTATAACAGTAACCTTTTTATAATTTAGTATTTTAAAACCCAAAGTGGTAAGTCACGAGCATCCGGAGTCGCTGAAAGGCAAAGTCAACTATTTTGGCATGCTACAGCATTAGTTGGTGGTTTTATATGTGGCAAATGTTTGACGATTGTTTCAGCTGTTGAGGGCGTTGTTCGGGACCAACCTCTCTAGCATCTGGAGCCCCGATTTGGCAAGCAAATTCCGCGTCGTTTTGGATGGCGTAACTGGCACACGAGCAGCCGGTGAGTGCATTCTGTTTCCCTTCACTGCAGACTATCCTCGACGAGATGTTGTCTTTGAACAGCCATCGCCCTGCAGAAACAGTCACGGCACATTCTTTCCACCGTCGACTTCACAGCTTGTCAATCTTACGCCATGTTTCGAGTATCTTTCAGAATGTATCAGAAGCCACAAGGTGCTGCCGTGTGTTGGGGCTAATGCTATTAGAAAGTCGTACTTTTCTGCTCGGGAACTCAACAGCACCTTCATTCCACATGGGTCCCAACTTTGTGATCTGCTCAATTCACACTCCCCTGTGATTGTGGATTCGCTTTGGTGACGCTTGGCTTGCTGGTGGGTAAGGTGGGCCAAGAACGGGGCACCAATGGGAGCCCACCATTTCAGGTAGCCGACCACATCTCGTCTAGTCTGTCACGCCTTTTGGTTTGCGATCATTCGACGCTGACACACTCGTTCGCAATGTTTGTGTGTGTGTCTGTCTGTAGACTGCTTTCGGAATGCTAGGCTCGCCGTTTTGGTGGCCGAATAGCACGTCCGAGCTTGTAATTTCATCCGCGTGGCACCAAGCGCCATTATTACTTGATGACCTTCGTAGTCAACTGCGCATCGCCTCGTTGAGTCCCACTTAGAAAGTATAAATTATTCAGCTTTTTTTTTCATTTCTTTAATTCCACACGCAATTTCTCAAACCATCCCCACCTACTTTGCTTTCTATTCTCAACTTGAGATTTGCTAAGGCAGGTATTGTCGTCCCGTAGGTGAAGTGCCCAAGGCCAGCATTGTCGAGCTGATTAACAGCCTTCACGAGGCCCATTTCAGGACGGCGGAGCTCTGCAGCACCGGTGGAGGTGATGTTGGTCGGGAACCGATGTCGAATGCACAGTCGACACTCGTTGACTGGCTGCTAGCCTCGCGTCAGCCTCAGCAGCCGGCCATGCTTCGTCCCTCCTCAATGCCATCCAACATTCAACAGGTGTGCTTGTGTGTCTAATGCTAACAATGCATGTCAGTGTTACTATTGCCACCGGTGAAATTTGACTCGATTAGCCGCATTGGTGTGAGCGTCATTATCGCCACTGAAATCTAAGACCAGAACATCGAACCACACAGTCGAACGCCTTGACTGCCCACCATCTGCCTTTCAACTCTTCGTGTCCCGATTGAATCCACATAGGGAATCTGCTTTGACCCAGAAGTCACCATTTGTCTGTATGTAGCTGCATATAGCGCTCTGCTCCATGTCCTTGCGAGAAACATTATGATAGGTTACCGTGCCGCTGATGTCCACGCATGTGTCACCCTCAGCTCCGTAATCGCCTTCCTTCTTAAATTATGTCCTTTCCATTTTCAACTACATCGTCTGTCTCTCCTGTTTTTCTTTCCCGCCATCACCGTTTTGATAATTCAAGCGGATAACCGTCGCTTTGTTATTGACTTCTTTCGCGTGTTACGCCAGCCCCTTGAAACTAAGGCTAAAGAATGCCACAAGTGGTTGCCTTACTGTCACGAGTCCCACTTTAAAGCACGTAAAGTGCACAGTAGTAGCCTCAATGCGTGGGGTCTCGCTATCATGACCATCTGACTGGCGACTCAACCCGCTACTTTCACACTTTCATTTGAGAGATCATCGTTTACGCTGAGTACCCTTCTTCGTATTTATGCGTTTTCTGTGTGTTGCTTGGTGACTCATCTTCCGTTGACAAAGAAAACAATTTGAATTGTTTTTGTCTTTTATGATTGTTTCAGCCAAATTTGGCATACTACATTCGGCTGTTCGAGCCTCTGGTTTTGCAATGCCTACATCAATACCGTCTGATAACTGACATATCGGTTCAGGCAAAGATTCTCGCAACCGTGACGATTCTCATAGAACTTGGCGTGAATTATTCACAACTGGATGAGCAATTCGTAAGTTTGTGGGTAGATTAGAGTCCTTTATTGACTTGCACAACGATTTTGGTTTAATTGTCTTCTACTCGATGAGTTACTGAGTACCGGTGCTTGGTGCTCAGTCCTCCAAAATCACTTTTTAATCAAATTTGAGTGTTTTTGTGGAATGAGGCATGCTTAGTAATTGAGTTACTATCATTTTCAGTACTTTTTGAAAACTGTGATGACTCAGTGCGAGGCAATGCAGCACAGCAATGCCAACGCTTCATACAGTCAACATGCTTCATCAAAGGACTCAGCCCAACTGTTGTCCAGCATGTTCCAGTTTTTCGTGGCTCTTACGTACGAGCGAAGCAGCGTGTCAGTTGATAAAACGTCGCACCCAACAGTTTTATCCCTGTCTGAGGTAAGGTGTTCCTGTTCATACTACGCGTGCGGTCTAGCCACGTGGGATGATGGCTCTAAAGGATCTATCCGATCAACTTGTCTGGCGCTTTAGGTGGTGCACCTAGCGGAGGTTCTGGCAGCCGGTGGCGTGGACGTGGACTCATTTGTGGTCCCTGCTCTCGCGCCTCTCGTGGTCGACGTCTTCGTCCAGCGCGGTGCCCGCTATCGCCTGGCCTTGCGGACGCACCTACCGGATTCACCACACGGCAGTCTGAATGAGGCAAACGTCTCGCTTAACAAGGACCTTCTGTACGTTCTATCGCGCGTTCACACCCTACTAAGTACTTCTTGAAGGGTTTTTGTCAGCAACTCGACTTTGCCTCAGTGGTAAAGTTGAAAAAAAAACACATGCTAGTTTTTGCATTCGTTGGCTGTGCATTTACAATTCTGGGTTTTATTATTATTATTTAAACGCATTCAGAACTAATCAATTTAGTCTGTCTGATCACAAATTTTAATTACTGTAAAGTGGCAACTTCGTGTTAGTCAATTTTGATTTATGGGAATGTCTCGTTACCAAATTCTTACTGTTATAAAAAAAACTGATGCATCTTAACTTCACAAAATTTAATGAACTCTCAAACTCTTCACATGCATACATGTACATGTTTGTTTTACTTTTTGAGCTAATGGCCCCAAAACCATACTCTTCGACTCTGGTTACCTTTGATGCTGCGAGGTGTAGCGTTCGATCCATCGAGTTTTAACTAATACTGTTTCTCTTAATTATTATTCCCTTAATGATCTCGATATGTCCCATTTGATACCTGTCGCTTCCGACCGTGGACTGCTAGGAGCCTTGGGATAATTAATTTTGCTGTAAATTATAGCGAAGGTAGCGTTGAATTAGGCCTTGTGCAATCTGAGATGCAGATGACTTTGTAATGTCCCTCTTTAATATATCTGCTTGCTTCCACATAAATGGAGTGATTCCATATCTCATTAATGCTATTATTTCAGGCAATGGAATGCCTATCGCGAAAGCCTGCTTCGCTTCCTTCTGCCGAAGTTCATTGTCTGCCCGTCGAGTTACGACTTGCTGTGCGTAATTATTGAGGACGCGCTGCTAACAGACGCAACGTTGAAACTGCCCAATGACTCGCCCGACTCCATCTCCTACAAATTCGCATCCGATGTAAACTATGCGTTTGTGGATATTCCGTATGCTTTTGTGCTTTCCCTTATCACCTGGGTTCAATGGACGCCCTCCTGTCACACACGTTTACCAATATCGGAGGCCTGAACAACTGATTTACTTCTAAGCTAAGATGACAGGCGGTGTATTGGTGTCTCCAGAGTCCGGGTAAAATTAGGCTTAGATCAGGCATTGGAATAATTGCTTGATGCATCTGTTGGAGAATTGGTGGGATCACAGTGAGCAACAATAACGGTCGTGTGGCAGCAAATTTTGAGGTGGACTCTCCTTGGATAGACACGCATCCCTTTGTCTGCATTTATTGCAAGCTTACTCGCAGTTCCTGGCACGTTCATTGGCACTTGGATGAGTTATTTTTTTGTCCCTGAAGATTTGTCAAAACCTGCTCTCCGGTCTGGCTGCAAACACCCTCGCCGTGGACGACTGTGGTGCTGTTGACGCCTGTCTGCGTCTTCTCCATCGCCTTGTCGCCTATGATTGGCCCATCACGCAGACGGTAGACGGGGGCATTACGCTAGGGGAGCTTCTGAAACACCTGCTGTCTGTGTTCTTTGCGAAGCCATCACACGAAGTTTCTTCAAACCAGGTAATCCAAAAAATCCGTGGCACGTTGTCAGGTGACTTAGTTTCGGATAATTATGTTATTTTCCAGCTTCGATCGGGGCTTGAGCGGATGCTTTGTGGGTCGATGAGCGGTTCGTAGCAAAGTTAAATCTGTCGAGTGTTACAACTTGTCAATAACTAAAAGCACACTTGCTTAGGGTGTCAGTACACAGGTCCCTTGTCTAAGGCGACCCACCACCCTCATTTTAGAAAGCTTTTACCGTTTCAGCCAACGGCCGAGTAACACTAGCGAATGCGACCTTGACCTCAATTGAGACGGGTCACACATTTAGTGGTGAATGAGCCGAAACCAAAGAGGAGGTCAATACAAAACCGACAAATGATTTACATGAAAATAAGGAAGTGGAAGAAAGATTTGGTTTTCAGTTTTATGGAAAATAAAGCCTATCGGATGTTGATTTTTCCAACTCCTCCTAGTTGGTGGGATAGAGTTTGGAATGGTAGTTGCTGCGACATAATCCCATGCTATTTTCAAGACTGTCTGGTTTCAGACTTTCGGCAATCCAGTTACCGGTTGATCATGCTGGCGGCAATGGTGTTGGTGATTGGTTATTCTCTTATTTTTTTCTCTTTCAGTCTGTTCGTTTGTTCCAGCGATGGGTGGCGTCCAAGTACCTTTGTCTTCGATTTTTGCTTCTGCTCACCATACAGCAGCCGTCTTGCCTGCAGCATGCTCTTCAGGAGCACATCCAGGGCACAAGTCAATGCCCAGATTCTGTCCTGCTGGAGTAAGTATTTGCAAAAGCAGTCACCACACTGTCCTATTTTCAATGGGGTTTTGAATGTCCACTGACTTGCAGCGGCGGCACCGATAGTATTAACGAAAAAGAAGTTGATAAATTCGGTTCTCGACTAGATTTTAACCGTCATCGGTTGCTAGACCTGTGTTGTGTGTTTTTTTTTCTGTTTAGAAGCAAGAAAACGTAACATTCTAATCCATCATTGCTTGTTTGCATTCTGCGATAAAGAGGTACTCGACCATCCATTAGAACTTGCTGAGATTTTTTGGGTTACCAACAATTGATAGTGTTTTTTGTTTACCCTCTGGTCTCAAAGTAACAGATCAATGGTCTTCTGATCACACAGCCACGTATGACATGAATTAGCCGCGCCCACAGAGCAATTGGTATGATCTTGATCGAATTTTAATAGTTCATAAGTTAATCTCACGCGATTAGCACAAACATTAGCAATAGTGGATATACGCACTTGAATCGAAGAACAGCTAAAACAGTCCAGTAGTTGGAACTTTGGCAGTGGTTATCCTACACAATAAATATGGCGAAAATAAGTAAAGTAAACAGTAAATGTACACAATAAATACTGTCGCTTACCGCTTTTGAGGACCTTAAATTATGCTCCAATAAAACCGATATAGTAAAACAAAAGGTTATGCGGAAATGGTAAGACAAATGTCACACCTCTGTTGGCCGATATCGACTGCCCTAACAACTCTGAAAGCGTCTTTTTTTTACCTCACACATAGGCACTTATTGGATCTTCTAGATGAGACATGCACCGCTCTTATTGGTGAACTACCAACGTCCGTGGACGAGTACTTCTCTGACAATGTTGAGTCCCCTTCTCAGACACCCCACACGGTGTTCATTGGACAGCTTTTGATTGCTCTGGAATTAGAGATTCTGGCATTCAATAGACTGCGTGAGTGACTTGCCTTAAAGTGTAGTTCACTTTTTTAATGCCCAACTTCTACTCTACCATTTCAGTAATATTTCGCTGTCTCATTACATTTGGTTTTTGCATTCATGCAGCTACCGTTTTCTGCTCTTTTTCAGATTGCTTTTCGCCAATGGGTATCCCAAAGGAAAAGGTGTGTTTCGTTCCTACATCCTGTGTTTTTTCACTTAACATGAAAACCCCACCTTTAGTCGTCGTTTGTTAACTCACTCCAACCTGTTGAAATATAATCCGGGAAATCAATTATACCGTTTGGTAGACATGGGTTGGTATCCAGATACTCCCAAACTTGTCTATTCCGGTGACGTTTGTACTTGTTTTTTGTTCCTTTTGACTAGCTTGAGCACTTGGGTGCAAAGCTGTCGATCTACAGCCGTTTGAAACCACTGTCTACAGTTCTTTGGCAGAAAATTCAGTGCGACGTTTTTGGATGCGAACCCGTCGTCCACCATCAGGCAGCTCACCATCTCCACTCTGAACTCGTGCAAGAGACTGCCTTTGTGATTGAGTGTGATAGGCGACACAGGTTGACGGAAGATGTGAGCGCGGTCGGACCTATTAATAAAACTATGAACCCAAAATCACTCGTGTCATTAATGTTTTTTTTTTTACTTCAGATCGATCCGTTTTTTAAGAAAGTTTTCTTCACTGGGAGAGAGGATCAGGTGTTCCGGTTGGAGCTAGGTCAGCTTCAGGAGATGGTAGCTTCAGTAACCAATGCTGATGAACGATGCCTGCTTTTGAAGGAGATGATAACCGTACTAGGCGTCGGGATTTTTGGCGCTAAGGTATTTAACAAAATGTCATCACCTCAAACCAAACGTTGTGGTTGTTTAGCACTTGTGTTTATTGCGGTAAACTCATCCTCCCTCAATTGGCAGCTGAGGCTCTTGTTTTCATGACACACCGGTCGCAACTGATTCCTTGACCGCCTATTTCCTTTCTCTGCAGAACCCCGACGAAGTTATGATTCGTCTCGGCTACATGAGGGCCCTATCCGAGGGATTGCTGAAGCTCCATCCCACTTCGGATGATGCCCACTGGAGTGTTGTAGAAGCCCTGATCACATCACTTCATGACTTCCTTTCCTCGGGATCTCGCCAACTGATTCTCAATTGGCCCATTGTCCGCAGGGAAATCGAAATTCTCTTGAAACGCCTTTTGAGGGAGTTCTTGAAAGAGGAGGTGATTTTTTACTCATTGCAGTTCAAAAATAACACATTGAGACCAGCTATAAATCGAACGTTCTCATGTGACGCCGTTTGTATTTCTCACATTAAATGAAGCTTGCCATTCTGCCTTAACAGGGGTTGGGAATATTCTCTTGCACCAATCAATCCAAGTTCACCTACGGCTGTAGCTTTGTTACTACGCAAATTGCGTTTTCGCACCACTTCTGAATCTATTTTTAGGCTAAAAAGCCAGCCAGTGCGATGGAGTTTATTCACGCACTGGATTGGAGAAACCTAGCATTGTCCACCAGCGAACTCCAGGCATCACTGATGAGTTTATCTTGCATAAGACAGCCTTCAAGGGAGCCAGAGGTACGTATTGGTAAAAATTTCACGCGGTGTAACTGTTCCCCTTCTTTTATGGCGTAGAAGCTTTACTCCTACCGAATACCACGCTTTACACTTTTTGCAATAAACTTGTTTTTATCGATATTTTATCAAAAATTAGCGATTTTTGCATTTATTTGAATCCAGAGTAAATTTAAGTCCTTTGAAAATCTCCAGTTTATCAAATATTCTGGCCATGGCCTCTTTCACCGACTTTTGTAACTGCACAATTGTGTTTTTATCCAAGCTGTGCTGAAGCGTTTTCGGAATTCTCCGTTATGCCAAAATACGTTAATATTTATGATAAAAACAGGCATTTAATGTCTTAACTCAGCTATTCGGAGTGATTTAGTAGCGATTGCAGCGTGTTTTAGTGTCTCGCAAGAATGGTAAAGTGGGCACATCGGTTCCTGGGTTCTTGTTTGGGGACATTTTTAAGGCACATGCACTAAACCATCTGTTGTTACTTTGAAATACGTTTTTATGATGAACACAATAAACCATTTGCGAGGTGGGGTTAAGGGAGTGCCACCTACATCTATCGGTTGTCGTTCGTGTTATTTTTTTCAGAACGACCGGAGAACTTCTCAAGATCTCGTCGAAGAGGTATTCCACAGGTCATTAGATGTGGCAGTTAAGGATGGCGGACGTTTGGCAGCTCGGCTTTTGCATTTGAAGAAACCTACTGGAGATCTCCAACTCCCCAATAAGCTACCCTCCAGATTCCTACAACATGTCGTTCGCATTGGGTTTGTGGAGACGATGAAGCGATTTAATGCCAGCGGCAAAAAAGAGTTTGTTCCTGCCGGCGAGGACACATTTGAAACCGATCCGGTATGGCAACTTGGGTATGTAATAACGTCAACGTTAGTATTTTGCGGCCAGGGTTTCTCGGCACCGTAATTTGGTCTTCTGAATGATAAAATTTATTTTACACATGGGACGATTTATTGCTGGTGAACCGGCAAATGACAATTTTTGTGGTTTGTCATCCTTGCTATGCTCTAGTGGCAGCATTAATTTCTTACAACTTGATCGGCTCTCGGCATTACGGATGAATGTTTCGACATTCCGCAGGCTGCGATCTCCCGTAGACAGGAAGTCATTTGCTCAGACTAAAGCTTAAAAATACCACTGGTTCCTTATTAACTGAAAGGCTGCTAACTTGGTACGGAGTGAGTGGTAAAAGTTGTCAATTGGACTAAGCAAGCCTGGAGATGCGTCGACTGGCGCAGAATTTCACGTGCAATCCGAAGTGTGTGCCGTCTGTTGTATGCCTTTTGCCTGTGTTTTGACTAACTAACATCTCAAATTAGCGTCCTTTGCGTTTTTTTCACCCGATGTCAGCTTGGGATCCTGCTTTATTTCAACTAGGGCTTAACGGTAGAAATTATTGGAATGCGTAAATCCTGACTTGAGAAACTGTTTCCACCTGTGCTTCCTGATCAACAAGGCTCTGAGACCGACGACGCTGCAATGTGTCCGTAGGCGCAATCGCGTTGAGCACCAATGACTTTGCTTTTCAACCTCTGTTGATATCACCGTTGTTAGTGTGCAAATAGTAGCAGGCCATGTAGTAAAATGGCGTCTCGCTGCCTGGTCGCTCTCTCATAAAACGTCGCGTTTGTGTCTGGTCGGTGTGCTTAAGTACTGCCTCTTTCATTTCCCACCTTAGTAAAGAACTTGTCTTCAAAGAGCTCTTCAGTCGTCAGACGCAAAAGAACACGAGTAAGTTCCTTAAAAATATATATTTTAGTCTTCGCTTATAACTGTAGTGTTGGAGGTGGTTACATAACTTATTTATTAAGTGTTGGTTATCAGAAAGACACACGGGAGTCGCTTGCTTGATCGTTGTGTTTAATAGACGATCCACTTTGGGCACAGCACAGTTTACGGAGCTTTCAATGCCACCACTGACCGAATTTTTTTCTTGTCTGATTTGGTATGGGTGTATAGTTGGTCAAAAAAGCCCAGGTTGTCAATTACTTCCTTGAGCTTCTAGTAATCCCAACTAATGTCTCATTATTTATGTTGGCATTAAAATCAAACAAGTGTCACAAGTGAAATTGTTGCCATGGCGCCGCAATGACTCCCATTACGTTGTCCCCGCACAGAACCTGTTCCACTCAACGCGGTTTGTTAGGTTGTCATTTAACATCTTATAGACTAAGTACGACTAGCTCAGTCTACCAAAAGTTTCGGTTTTTATGTCCTTGCGAGGTGTCGTGTTCGATGTATCTCGTCCTCCTTTCACTTCACCATCTAGAACTCGCCACCGGCGTGGACCAGCAAAGAGAGTTGGTGGGTGTGGCTGCCGCGACGATCGACTTTTTGCTTCTCTCCAACCGACTGCCGTTGCCTTCGGAACTCTCCACCGCAGAAGTCGAAGCAATCTCTGCTTTTGTGTTCTCCCTAACCCAGGTATTTGGCTCTTTCATAAAAGATTAAAGCTGTTTGATAGAGCGTCGTGCCTGGTGCGCTGCTACCGTACTACCGGTTAACGGTCAATCCGCCCCACGTAGCAATTATTTTGAGACCAGAGGCAGCGGCAATTTCCCCCTTCACATGTGCATTAGGATGCCAAGCTCTTTAGTGCATCTACATGACGAATTGGTTTTTTAACTTTGGTTTTCTGAATCAAGTCAAGACAAACTTCCTGTGTGGGAAACGGAAATGCCTGTTAATTTGACAATTTCGTTTGTCTAATCCGGTGTTTATGTCGGGCTTTTCATTTGCATAACCTATGTCTATTTTAATTTCTTTTAAACTACCTATGAAAACTACTGTCTCAATTTTTGACAAAGAGAACTTTGCCTGCATTTCCTTTATCTCATCGTCCTAAAGTCACGCAGTATTCGGTCAGACCTGTGAGCATGCTCTCGGTCCTATTTTCGCACGATGCGTCGTGGGTATGGTGGAGTTTCAAGTCGATAAGGATGAGCTTTAAGTCACTGTAAGCAAGCAATTTAAAGTCAGTTGAGGTAACATGAGCGTGTGGGCGTCGTAGATCACTACGGTTACATGCTGGTGTTGAGGGCCCCGGCATGTTGTCTGAACCACGCCGGGGCCACTGCGACAATCTAGGTCGAATACGTCACCCTGTGTTCCCGCGAAAATAAAGAAGACCGGAGTGGAGAAGGCACAACCGTTTACTAGGCAGCTCAATCAAGTTGTGTCGTGTACAATTACGGTTCAGTGGACATGTACAATTATCAACACAGGTGTCTGTGGGGTCACATGAATAAAACGGGTGGTGGTGGGACATGCAGAGTGGTTAATGAACCAGCGGCCTCACGTGACTGGCGGGTAGGTCGTGAACAGAGAGGACGTGCGTGTGAGGCTGCGACGACCGGGGCTTTTAACGTGAATCAACACGATTCATTACACTGGAACGAGACTGCCCACCTTTCTCGGAGGTACGAGTGGTCAAGGGCAGTAGCTAGCGCGGTCTCGCAGGAGGGACTGAAGTCAAGGTGAAACCCTGAAACGTAACTTACACCTCTCTTCGCTAATAGTGGCGTATAGAACTGTCCTCCTAGCTTGTCAATTAGAATTCGATGCATTTATCTGGTTACTTCGTAAAGCCCGACTATATTTGTGGTTCTCGGGTTTCACGTTGTTTCGATGTCAAGGCTTAATAGCGTCTGCGCAGTCGCACTCCCCTGCCTTGGGTTGCTGAACCTCAGTAGAGAAGCTGTTTGTTCACCTGACTGGCTCTACCCCAACCCGCAATATCGCAGCCAACCCAGTCTGTGTTTGCCAGCTGGGCGCTGAACGGTCTTCGAAGCGTACTTCAACGCATGGGTGTATGGTCGGACAAGAAGAAAGAGCACCCTCGTCGTTAGTGGTGATACTGAGAGAATTTAGGAATAAGGACCATCATAATCTCAAACAAAAAAGGGACATGTCATGAAAATAATCGCCGTAGACCGTGTGAAAACTTATCGCTCTTCTGTAATGCCCTAACAGCCATTTACAATTGCCTTTCGTTTAGACCTTCACACACCTGACCCTTGCGACGTGTCAACCCCCTTCTCCCTGCCTCCTGAGCCTGCCTCTCTTGGCCCTTCACCTCCTATCGATAGCGCTGTCCACGTTCCCACAGAAACTCCTTGCCAGCCTGGACGATCGCAATACGGCGTTTGACACGCTCACAAGTTTTGTCGAAGCAGTGAATATTTCGGGTGGGTTGGTAGGAAAGTGTGGCTTTGACATACTACAACATGCTGACGTTTTCTTAAATAGGATGATGCGTTAAATACACTTATCACCGTCTGAATACAGCGTCGTCCCCAGTCACTGTCCTGCCCTTTCTTATCAAATGCAATTTTAGTAAGACAGAATAAGAGGAATTGGAACATCAGGCCTGAGTTCCTTGCTAGCACACTTGATCTTCATTTCAGCTTCTCTGACGACTCCCGTGACGCTGTGTTGGCCACACGAAACCGAAGAAAAAACCGATTGCCTAGACACCGTGGTGTCTCGCCTGCGGTCCCTCCTGGTCCCCCATTTGCCAGGCCTTTTCCATCAAACCGGTTTCTCTTCAGCTCACATCCCTGCCTCCGGTCTAACGCGATTCACTGAGGTGCTCAACAGCTTCGCGGTAAACTCGACGGGAGCTGCCACTGAACACCTGGGAAGTCATGTGCAACTTGCGAGCGCCGTGGGACAATGCCGCCTGCTGCAAGTAGACTTCGCGCATTCCCTGAAGATGAAGGCCTCTGACCTGAACGCCCAATATGCGGCTGCTCTTATTGGTAGGTTCTTAAGGTGGGATCTCCACCACAATTGCTATAGGCTAATCAGATATCCTTCGGGTGTCATACTTTTAACCTTTACTAGCCCTTGGGAAATGTAAGGTTGAATTAGTGGGGAAGCGTTTTTCCCCACATCCACTGTGCTGCACTGCTGTTCTTTCACATAATGTATCCTTGACATACGCATCCATGCTGGCTTACTTTCGATTGCCTGCAACATCTTTTTGACATTTTAGTTCAATAATTGGCTTATTCTTGCTCTAAATTCTTATTGGTTGGAGTCTCGGTCAAATCATTTGTCTGTGGCTTGTCACTCTTGTCCTAAAAGGTTTGCGAAAAGGTTGATCGGACATCAGTTGCGTCCTACATCAATTACAAGCTTTCAAACATTGTGATTGGTGATCGAACACGTGGTCGCTTAGAGTTTGCCCCATCACCCTTTGGCTGGTGTAGTCACAGGCTTCAGCGCGGATTATTGACGATTGCCTTAGTGCTAGTGGCTTCATAGGCTAGCGTTTTAGCGCTCTTATGCTAACCGACAATCTGAATCCATTGCCTTACGGTGTTTTGTGTCTTTTTTCCCCATTATTTGAAGCCCTGTGCCGCCGTCCCAAGATCATCGTCAAGCTGCTTCACCGTGGCGTCTTCGTTGGTGGCGGCAACCAGTTGAATCCCGACCGCGCTGCCGAATTGGATCGTGACAGCCTCGCCGAGACCTCCGCGTGGCTCCTCTCTCTCGGCTGGCTCGATCGATCCATGTTTGAGTCCACCTGGACGTCCTTTCTTGCTGTTTGCACTCCTCCCAACGACTCGGCTGAGCGTTCTGATCACGAGGAAAATCCCTTCGCCAACAGTTCCGAGGTTCGTATCCGCCGTCTCGCTCTGCCTTAATTTTGTGTCATTTGCTTCCATCCGCCAAGACTGCTGAGTCGTCAGTTTTGCATTGACAAGCTTCGTTATTTGTGCTTCTCTCATATTATCTGAGAGAATGTCATCGGATAATTTTTCGTATTTGTTTTTTTATGAACTCGTCAAGCCCCAACACGAAAGGAGTGAGCAGCTCAGGCAGACTTTGGCCCTTGGAACCAACTTCTGCCATTTCGATTTATTCATATTTGGTAGATTTTGCAGTACTGAGCCAATAACCATGGTGACCACGACTGATCATTTTTGTTTGCGTACTTAGTGTTTACAACAAAGCACTGCAAACGGGACGTGTGTCAAATTCCAATGCAATCATTCACTAACGGCTAATGTCAATACACCTAACTGTGCATATTTGAGTTGACGTCACCATTGTAAAAAGTAATCCGATGACGCTTAACTTGCAGGAGCAGGTGGAGTGGAGTCATTGTCGGGTGATTGGAATCAACGCGCTAACACGGCTCCTCCTCAGCACTGAGCTTCGTCCACACCCAGGCGACCCTCTGCGGAGCTGTCCCGACCATCGTCCGCGTCTCTCCCTCCTGCCCCACTTCATGCACACACGGTAGGTGGTTCATTGGTTCGACTCCCACCGTCCACCTTCTATCTGAACCCTTCAAGCCCTCATCACCTGTCACTCCTGTTCCCTCAGTTCCTAGCTTCTCTTGGGCATCGATTTTAAGTGGATTTTCTAGTTCATCGTGAATCGCAAACGTTAACTGTTCGCACGTCTTTAATAGCCTGAGATGTCGTATTTTTGCTATGCAGGCTGGGTGGGAAGATCGGCAGTGTTCTGAGCGAACTTGAGCGGGAGATGACTACTTGGTTCTACGACGTAACCGCGACTACCTCCTTGGTTGGTTGCGGTGAGGGGAACTCTGGGGCTGGTCTTTCATGGCTCTCCACCAATCTGGACCTCGAATACCCCGCAGTTCGTGACTCCCCAGGGGGACAAAGATCGATCGAGTGCTTGGTCAAACGGCTGCTCCAGTCGCCTTCTGGTGAGCGATACCCCGTCTTAACGCATGCAAATTTTAGACGACAATTATTCCAAGGAATAAAGAAGCGAAATGTCGACATTTATCATCAACCATTTCCTGTTTAAAACAAGTATAGATTCCAAAAGGCTCCGTAGACAATCATCTCAAATCTGTCTTTGTTCAAATTATGGTGCAATAATTGTGTAAATGGTAAATGGTAAATTTTTTTTCTAATGTCGCTTACATCTGACCATCGACCGTAAATGGTCCATTTATTTCACCTTGGTTGCTATAGATTTTGCCTTGTCGATACAGATTTGCCCGTTTTTTCAGCGTTCAAGCTGTTCGTAAAGCTCTCATCGTTTCGACAAGTCCTTTTTGTTGTCGCTGCCTACTCTTGCCTCGATGCTGCTTTCGTCCTCTGCATCACTTCATACTGCATTAACTTCCCTCTTTTTCCGTAATTGGTGCTGCTGGACGTGAATCCTGCATAGAAATATAAATCCCAATAGCTTCCTGAACTAAGCGTGAACTACTTCTGCCGTAAATCCACACCTTTTTAATTCTAGTCGTTTACGCTATGGAACGAGGCTCCTTACCCCTAATATAACCTGGTTGTCTGACTCACTTTTAGACCTTATTAAAGTTAAATCGGCCTGAAAATTTCCTATTATACCCATCTGTCTATAATCTCCTTCCTTATTACGTCCTGTCCGTTGCACAGATCCGTCTGGTTTCGAGGTAAACACGGTTTTGTCGTGCCTTCAGTCGATGCGCCTGGTCCACCAAGCCTGGCTTCGGCCGTACGAGATTCTCCTCCTTAGCAGAACTCGCCCGCAAACCACCACTCCGGACAACGTCGTATCCCCGACCAGTCCCTCGCAGAAAAACAAGATCGCGAAGTTCTTTAGGCGAGGTGGACGCCCTGCCAGCTCGAGTGCCGGCAGCAGCTTCCCTCAACTGGCCTTTGAGGAGTCGATTTTGTTGACTGGAGTTCTGGCGAACGGCGGCAAGGCCCAGGACGTGACGCCAACAGAGACCGAGAACACGCGGGAGGCCGGATCGGATCTGGTGCCTGCTGTCGGGCCACTGCCCTCTCTTGCCGTCCTGAGTGCTGTGGTCAAATCCGCGGTCGTGTGCAGCGACCTCTTCACCACAAGGGAGCAATACCTCTGGCTTATTGGCTGTCTCCAAGCGGGTAGGCACTATTTCACAGCTAATGACTCCCAGGTTATCTGCTCCCGTCAGTCTCTGTATTCACCTCAGATTTTTATTCAGTGGTTTTGTTCTGCTCTTCTTGCCATTTAACAGTCGCCTGTGCGCATTTTGCTTTTTATGCTGCAAGGCCAGCTATGTGACTTCGAACTTTCGTGACCGGCTGACACAAAAAATGCGGTTTTGCGAATTCCATCAAGCGTCGACCAAAGGTAATGTCATTGGTTGATGAACGACTTCAGTGTGCATGACAATAGTTTGATCCGCTAAGTCAAGGTTTTCTTGAAGCATCGATAACTTCGCCATATTTGTCCAGCGCTAGTTACAGCTCGGTCAGAACGGAGCAATGGTTATGTTGCTCCGCTAAGACCCTAGCCTTAAGCCGTGTTTGTTAATGGTAATTGACAGGCCTGCACGTTTCTGAAACTGTTTACACGTGGGCACGATGAAACGGATCAACGAGGAATGGCGGAGTGGACACGTTGATTTGGGATGTTGTGGAACGCTACAGCACGGAGTAACTATGGCAGAAATGAGAGCAGAGTGAGAGAGCCTCAACCATGTATTAGCTGGCTCAACCAGGTTGGCTCTTTTGTGTCTGTTACGGTTTGCCGGGACACCCGTGGAACCCCTAGCGTAAATATTCGAATCCCTGTCGATGCCTTTCCCCCGCATCGGCGCTCTGACAAAGCGTGTATGGATTAGCGCCTCCTCAAACTCGGACAAGGCAAGACCTCATGCTGAAAGCTTTTAGTATCTCAGCCAAAAGCCAACTTCGCATTCCCACTCGCCGACTCTTATATACTGCTTGGGCGGCCTTGAGTGCATGTCAGAGTAAAAGTACTCTCAAGCATAAATGGACCAATGTAAAAGTACAAAAAATTTTTGTGCATTAAATAAATGATATTGAAAACTTGAAAGAAACAGTCTTGGGAGTGCTGAATCCTCAATAACGTGTATTCAAAGTCGTGCATGACTAATGAGTTTGCCGATCAATGCAGCCTAGGTGAACTTGTAAAAGTACAAATGGCGGATTGGTCAGATGAATGAAACAGGTAGCGGGGGCACACGTGCACGGGGGTGCGTGAGCAGACGGATCCGCGTGACTGACGGGCACGCCGTGGAAAGGGGAGGTGGCCGTGCGTCGGAGACTGCGGCGACGGAGCGGACGGACGTGAACCGGCACGATTCACCACAGGGGTCAAGCGGCTGAGTGGGGGATCAGGGGCTGAATAAACCCTGTATCAGATCTTGTGAGAACCATGGCAGCGGTCATGAATTGACTTGGTTCAAGCTTATTAGCATAAAGAGGGTCAGGCGGCTTTCAGTGTAAATGCCTTGGCTAGTCTCTGAAATTATTGGGTCATCGCCAAACTTCATGCCGATTTCCAAAGACGATAGAAGCACACCCTTTTGATTATCGTGATGTTTCTCCTATACTTCAACTATTACCTGACAGTTCCCTCAGAAAAGTTTAAATTTGTGTTCGGGGTCAGTGTTCAAAATGGCAAATGTAATGTTATACGAGTTTAAGAAAATTGAGTATTGGAACTGCAACAAAGACAAAGTCGATTTCGACATGACGACTTACATCTAGACACAAAACGTCGCTATCGGCGTCCTTCCGGCCTTGCTAATGGCTGTGTGTGATTTGGTAAATAATAAGTCACGGATTAATGCATAGTAAATTGCTGAGAGCCTCAATGTTGACAAGTTGACTGCATCCCGCCATTTAAAGCAGCTTGAATGCACCTCGTATTTCGATGTGTGAGTTCCGCACATTTTGATAGAACGGACCAACCGTGCCTCTGTTGAATCATGCCATAACTGGAGGTAATCGGTAGTTTCTGTGTAACAAGACAGCCATGGAAAAAAACTAGAAGCATAGAAGTGAGAGGCTGGAATCTAAGGCTAATTCGTCCCGAATTTAGTACACCTCTTCCTTATTCAACGTTCTTTTTTCCTCTAAAGTATCCCATAGTTTGCCGCCAATTGGTGAGGGTTTCGAGGCTCCGATTTACATTTGGCTGACAAGCGGGTTGGCGAGGTGCACGGCTGTCCTGGAGGCCACGCTGCTCTCCTCCTCGGCCTACGCGTCGACTGTCGGCGGCGGCGGCAGGTTGGAGGCGGCGCCCCAGCAGCACCACTCCGCTCCCATCCTCCTCTCGAGCAACCTCGAACCCGCGGTCAGCCATGCCATGGCTGCCCTGCAGTCGCCGCTCATCGCACTCCAAGATGCTGGCCTGCGAGCTGCCATGGATCTCTTCCAAGCCTCCCTTATTCTCAAAGCCACTGGCCATCCAGCGATGCTGCAGCCACAGTTGCTTGCTAACCAGCCAACTGGGTCTGGTCTTATCAACGAACTGCTTGTCAAGGTAAGAGGCGTTTCCCTTGACGTAAGTCCGAGCAGCTTATTTGTTGAGGCGTTGGACACTGTGTTCCCGCTTGGTGAAGCACCTGTCTTTATTTGCCGACCCACAAATTTAGGCTCTTTGGGTCGTTCTGTAGCCCAACTGTTTCCAGAAGTTCGTCTCTTGAATACTCACCTTGAAACATACTCGCCATAGCGAAGTGGATTCGCGGGTTGTGTGTAATCACGAGTGGGTTTCTGGATAATCCTTTATCTTGGTAACACGGTGCTAATGTTCTGATTTTGTGCTCTTATTATTTAAGGTCTGTTCGTACCTGGACAACAGACTGCGTTCCCTCTTCGGATCAGACGCCACCTCGTCGAATCCTCCGCCTTCCACCACAAGGTTTTCCCTGCCCTCTGGAAGTAGTAACGCCTTTTTGAAGCTGACCTCCAGTTTCTCCCGCAACACCTCCACACGTGGAACGTCGCTATCTCTTGACTTCCCCGGTGGGTTACGTTATGTGGGTGTGTGTACCCCAAGTCAGAATACAAACTCCACACCTCTCGTGCTACACTCTCTGATCACGTCTTCAACATTTTCCGTGACTTTGTTAGTAGATCTAACTAACCATACTGTCAGGTAGATTCGTATTGTTATTCCTCAGTAACTGGTAGTGAGAGTGGTGTTGTTAATGAAGGAAACTGGTTATAGCAATTTAAGGTCCTTGAAACTACGCAAAAGGTCACGGCACTTGTTCATTTTGTACGCTTGTTGGTTTGGTCGGCTGTTACAAATGTTGTGCAAAATGTTATACGTAAGTGGCTTGGATTGCGTTAAACGTGCTTTTCTGAAAATTCGATCGCCTTTTGTTGTTATTAATCAGTAGAAATGCCGAGCTAAAGGGCTGCTTACCCTGGTAGAACCAGCCCTCACGATTTGGTCTGGAATTTCACTTGCAACCAACAGTACGCGTGAGCATGATTGAGCGTGTCTTTTTTCCTCCAATCAGATTGGTCCTCGTCCATTCCGGAGGTGTGGGATTGCGCAAGTGAGCGAGTATCGCAGCATCAGCTGACGGTTTTGGGCGCGGCCTTCTTCGTCGTCGAGCAGTTTGCCTCGGCAGGCGAGGCGTCTACGATCGGACGCCTGATTTCCCACCTGATCAGAGATCTGACGTGCCTCGCCGAGAGCATGCTATGTGACGACCTGCGCGCTTTCATGCCGCCTGCGCGTCTAACCGAGGTGGGTTGGCGTTGAAACCTTCGATTAATAACACCTTCTTCGCTCTTGCCTCCGTCACTTCCGCTCAAATCCCGAGCGGTTGATTTTTTGTTCACCAGCACTCACATTTGACTACCAACACTCATACGTTGCTTATTCATAAACTCCATTTTACGATTTGTCCATTAATTGTAGGTCTTCGCGTCCCGTTTCGCTGGGACTCAGGCATCAATGGCTTTTGCGGGGCCGGTGCTGTTTGCGTGGACTCGTGGAATGCAACGTCTGCTACTGGGTGGGCGGATCAGCCGTGCAAATTGTGAGGTACGCCACTCCTCTCCTGCTCTTCCACTCTTTTAGGAACGTAGACTCATGAGGGAAGCAGAGTTCGTGTGGAGACTGTGTTGTAGCCCTATTTCAGATGCGAACGTTTGGGGGCACACGTGAATCATGACTTCGAGAGTGTGTGACTCAGAGCGGTGTTTGAGGAAAAATCGTCTTCATTGTTCAGGGGGATTTCTACTCTTTTCTCAGCCTTAAAAACTGTCCTCGTGGGCGTTGCTTGTGGGGAATTACGTAACACTACAGAATGAGACTAGAGTTAGTTTTTTCTCGCAGGCACTGGCAAAACTGGCGGCGGATCGTCTGGCATCGGCGAACTCGATTCACATGCGCCTCCCTGCCCTCAACCTCCTAGTCACGTGTGTCTACTCAATGCACTCGGACTTCCTTTCCCGCGCAACTCCCGATCGAGGTAAGAGTTACTTCTGCTTCCACCCCAAGAGGAATGCGGCTGATTTCCTGCGCACCCACTGTCGTTTTCGCCTCAGAAACAGCAAACGCTTGTCGGGAATTTTTCCGTGTGGACTTTTTTTGAAACGACTTGCTCCTTCGAAGAAATCCCACAAACTGAAGCAAGTGTTTCTCAATGTGTCACTCTTTCTTTCCATTCTGAGAACGACCACATTGCAGAACACTTGGCTTGTGGCAATTAACCGCATAGCCCCCCTAATTGGACAATCCTATCCCCTCATCGCGCAGTTCATTTGCATCTCATGAAAAAGCGCGTGATCACTAATGCCTCTTAATCTAAATGAGTAAAATCCGTGTCATGTGATTTATCACAGGCTGAATTTGGTTGCTGTAAGACCATGACCGTTGAATTGGTCACCGTAAGTACCATTGACCATTCAGATCCCATTTTTTTCACGAAAGTTTAGTGAAATTCGACCGTGAATTATTTGGAAGTTGATGCACTGGAACGTGCCAAAACGACACGTTTGAAATGAAATAGAACAGACTAAAGGCTCTGAGAGTGAAGTGAGTCGTTTCGAGACTGTGCTCGTCCATCCGAGCATGGGGTCGTAGCCGTCTGATTGCAATCGAGTGAAGATGCTGTCAGCTTTGCTGCTAGCTTGTCTGCGAATGATTCTAAGTTCAGGTATACACGTTTTAAACGGTCGACAGAGGCAGAGCCATCTTTTCTGTTGTGCTTGGTGATATAGATGTAGTCTGAGAACTCTGAAAGGCCGATCATGGGTCAGTGTTCGTGGAATGCGCGACTTTAATCACGTTGGGCCTGAAAATGACACATTCAGCTGGTGATGAAAGCATTCCGTCCTACTATTTGGCCGTGGACTGACTTCAGAACTCGGTTCGTTCTCAACGTTCGAATTAGGCTTTCGTGTTAATGGGAAGTATTCGTAGGCGGGGACTTTAGATACTTCTTCCGAGGGAAATGTCATTGTTGCATTTTGCCGGAAACCAAAGTCCATGCACTCAGGCAGCCAGTGCCCCAGATCCCTTGTGTTGTTAGACCCCGCCTTCCCTCGCTTGTGTGATACGAGGCGAGGCCTCACGCAGAGAGCTTTTCGTGTCTCCCTGAGCTTGACCTTATGAATCAGGGCTGAGTAACACGGGTGGGGCTGTCAGTAGGATGCCGTGAGTGACTCATCCACTGAAGTGGCGTGGTTAGAGGATTTATATAATCACTGACGAAATCCCAACCCTCGATGAGCTGTCATGGGGAACGCTGGATCCCCAGCAGTCATTCATAGATAAAGTGTCTAGCTGTCGAGTGAAGTCATTGACTCATATCAACGGGTGACGTAAACCTCTTGAATCGTGTGAAGTCGACATTGACCTCATCAGACCCCGCCGTCATGGGAGTTGAGTAACCTCAGATCCTACCTTTAATTGGATATCAGCGAGCCACGATTCACTGTGGTCAATTTTTTTACTAAACTAAACTCCTGTCTTTTTCTTGATTTTACATTGCTATGAGGATATTGCCAATATACTCACAACCGCAATCTCATCCAGCTAGTACGTGGTAAATGAAACCTTGATATATTTGAGCTACGAAAACGAGTAATGAGTACTTCGGGCGTTTATCGATGAATTTTAGCTTGTCGTGGATCGTGTTTAGTCAACCTTTTAATCCGATCGCTCCGCCTCCGACACAGGGTTCCCCCTTTTCGCAGTATGGCGCCAGCCGCGCAAATCCTTGGATTAACCTCACACCTAGATCTCGATGTTAGCGCATCTATGACTCATTCATCCGAGGTATAAATACGCACACGCAAACCCCACACATGACACAACGACACCAACGTGGTTGAGCTCTGAAGTAAACGGTTGTGCCCACATCCTCTCCGGTCTTTTTCTTCATCGCGGGCATCAGGCAAGCGTAATCGGGCCTGGGTTAATTCTGTGGTCCCGGCGTGGTTCAAGACCACATGCGGAGGCCCACAATAGGCTCATTGTAATTGTTTCCGAAGCTGATAACACACAGTCTGCGTCGTTTGGCTAGAACGTGGCCGTTTTTTGCACTAATGCCAGCGATCACATGGGGAGGCTGAGATTGACGATTCTGCATCGAGGAGTCACCAATTTATGTTGCACACAGCGCTTGAGCAAAGGCGTGAGGGGCAGAGGCGGCGTTAGGACGTCTCTTTGTCCATCCACTCGACGCAGTTTCTTTGTGTCATTGGGTCAAAATGAAGTCCGTGTAACAGACGTTGCTCTAAGACCAATAAATACGGGTGAACGCCCATGACATGTGGAGGTAGTCGGACTCTTAAGGATACTCATGCGAGAGCAACGACCGCCACGCGCGCGAACATGCTGGTGTTGAGAGCGCCGTGCGGGCTTTTACACGCAAATAGGCGGGGAAATGCAGTTTTTTTATAGTAAAATCTGACACGTTCTCAAGGCGAACCTGTCTGCATTGCTAGGAGCTGCTTCTGACCACTGCTACATTGCGATTTGGCACTTATACTGGTGGAAGATGCTGGTTCCCCTTAAGGACGTGCGATTATTTTCCTACAATACAACGAACTTGGTTTTGGGAAAGCCATCAGATTTTGTGTTCCAACCAACCTCCCTGAAAATACCTATTCAGTATCAACTCAGGTATTTGCAATATGTTGTGTGCCTCCGACCCAGCTGGGGGTATTGTTAAAAATTTAAAGGGGCTTTTTACCAATGAGAAGTTACCTCTACAGCCTCGTTCTCCGTTGCCAGAAAAAAAAAATTATGAAAAGACTACACGACGTGGAGCGCATGAAGGGGAAATTGAAATGCAAAAAAACTCCGTGTACCCTGATCCTCCATGCAGCCAGTTCATTTCTTAGCATCTTAGCCTAATCGTTTAACTCGTAAGTCATGCACACGAGCCTGTTCTTTCTGTCCGTAGATGCTGCATCAGCAGAGCATGTCCTGTCTTCCTCACAGGAATACCTCACTTGCCTCTGGGAGCGTCTTCGCGGAGGTGGGCTCACAGGGGTGCGCGGCTCGGGTCCCCACATCGCCCCTCTTGATGCCCGTTGCGTCGCATTGGCCCTTCGGGCCTTGATCGAGAACCTCGTCCGTTCGGTCCTCTCGTGCGACTACCATGTGCCACTGTCCGCGTTGAATGGACTGGTGAACAAGGCCGTGGCGGAGATTGCTCGTCTCGACCAAGACTTTCCTCGTCTTGCAGCTAGTTTGCTTTACAAGGTGCGTCGAAGCCTCTTCAACAGATTCAGCGGCTATGCGAGATAAAAGTGCAGCCATGTTGAATCCACTTTTTCGCCAATTACAGGTCTTCGCTGTCTTCATCGGGTCACCA